CCCCTAACTCACTGGGAAAAATAGGGGTGGAAAAACAAAAAAAGTTTTTCTTTAGCTTTTTTCCTTACAAATTAAAACAAATGTGAGTGAATTTATCTTTACTTTTGCCAGATGCCCTACAAATTAGTCTAAAGTTGTTGTCTGATGTAAGACATTGCCATTCTAGGCCTCTGTGGGTTATTTTTATTGTATCTGAGGAGTATTTTTTAAAAAATTTATAAAATAAAAAAAAAACTTTTTCCATCCGTCCCTATTTATCATTTTTTAAAAAAAGAAGGGCAAACAAACATTTTTTTTTATTTGGCCTAATTGGAAAATCAACCTTAAAATATGCATTTACCATTTTTGATTTAGGAAAATTCAAAAAGATTTTAAATTTTCTTGGATTTGTTACTAGCAAGTGGGAGGGAAGTAAAAAAGTCCTTACATGATTGTGAAAAAATAACAATATTAAACATAAGATTAATAAATCAACAAGAGACAATAACTTTCAGCAAACTTAATTTATTATCAATTTCTGATTTACAATTCCACAAAATCTACTAAAGTGATGAAGGCATACAAGGAGCTACAATCACATATTAAACAATGGCTGACATTATCTGCCTTCTTCAACATGGAATTGATCTAAGCATCTTGGAAAATCTAATCTAGGAATGCGCTAATGGTTTTAACTCAATAACCATGTTGAAGTAAGCTCCTTCCAACACAGAAACATCTAGTACACCTAAGCTGTCGATATATTATTACAACTAATAGTGTTATACCAAGAATGCAGTTATACCAAAAAGGTATTTAGTAATACATTAGACAAGAGTAAGTATTTTTCTCTGGTTAACTTATCCTGTACAATAATTTAAATTACAAACCAAGATAATAAAGCCATGAAACTGTACAGTTCTTTCAATTCAATGCATAAAGGTGGATTTACACTGAATCCAAAGTTTCGGATATGAAAAGCCTATCGAACTGATCAAAAAATCAGATCAGTGTGTAAGAACAGGGACATTCAGCGGATTGGAAACGCAGTCCAAATTTAGGTTCGGATCCAATGAGAATGAAGCATTACACTGGAAATTACATCGTCAACGATGACAGCAACATATAAAATAATTTAAAGCAACCCCTGTGATGCCAAGCGCCCTCAAGAGTAAGCGGTGAAGTGATATCAAATATCTTCTAATTACAAGATAGTGCTCTCCACGATTTACATGTAACAAACAGAAACATTGATGTTCAGTAAAAGAAAGCATAAAAAGTAATAATTTCTGAGAGACGGTGTCCTAGTTGTTACCATAGTTGCCACAGAATTTGCAAGCAGATGCGCTATCTTTACTTAACAACCTTTTATGTCGAAGTTGGAATTTATCATTTTGTGTGAAGGTGTCTTACTGTTTAGGAATTCTGTGTTTAGAAATTTTCACGCAGAAGTTGCAGAAAATGCTATCTTGGAATTATAAAATCTTTGAGTGATATTAAAAGTGCCCCTAAAGATTAGAGAAGTGAGGAGACTAAAAAGTCTTTTTTTATATATATTTTAAAAAAATTATTTATGTTCTTGTAAATATTAATACTCAGATTATAAAATAAAGCATTTAATATCTTCAATAGACCTTCCTCCACCTGAACAGCATTTCTACACATTTAATATAATAAATAAAATTAATTAAAATTTTCTTTCAATAAATGAACATTATTCTAGCCTAGGCCTGTATGTATCTTTTTCAAGTCATAGAACCCCACCCGGAAGGGCAAATGCCTCACGCTTAGCTTTATATGGAGACACGTACCCGCAAAATGTTTTCAGTTGGGAGAAAACAGACCTAGCAGTAGTCACATATTGTTATGAGACCATGAGGACATGCTGCATCACAGCCAATAAATCAAATGGAAATCTCAGGATGTTTCCATTTTGTTTGCATTGTTTTTGGAATTTACTTTTTAATATTAGAATCTGGAATATAATTAATGTGTTAATCTAATATGATGGAATAAATTAAGGACAGTCAGCAAAAAACAACTAAACGTGAGCTGTTTTTTTAAACATGTGTTTAGTATGGAATATTGTTGATCTCTGAAAAATCATTGGCTTTTCCCGCAAAGTCAGAATACTGAAATGGTCTTTACATAAAAATCAAAGCTTATAAAGTGGTTCCATTCTTATGAGTCTAATGAAGACCATCGTGGACAAATACAACCAAACTTAAAAAGGGCGCCCTCTCTGACGGGAATACAATTAATGCATCATATTGACAAACAAAATTGTGGTCAAGAATGGGAATAATTTGGGTACCACCTATTCATTATCATAATAGAATAGATTCAGAATGCGGACATACCAAGGAAGCATGATGATATTTTTAGGACTGGAGCATGTGTTCCACTCCTTGTGTGCAAAATTCAGGAGGAATTCTCTCCTCCTACCTACACCCCTTTAACATCATTAATTACAAGCTTGTTCTTTTTCACAGAAAGTTACTTGTATAGTAGAAAATTATTAGATTAGACACATGTAATACTGCTGTCAAAATCCTCAAATATCAATATACAGGTTCCCCTCAATTAAAGACCACATTTTGGACGAGGTTTCCATGGTCTATAGCAACTTTGGTCTCTAATTACAACAATATAAAACGTTTGTTTATTTGTGACCACAGAAAAGTGGTCTGTAATTGGAGGTGGTCTGTAATTGAAGGGGTTTTTAATTAGAGGGAGCCTGTACTGTACTTGTATATTTTGCTGGTTACCAAGGAATGTAAATAGGAAAAGAGTGTACATTCTACCCAATTACATTATTCTACTCCAATTGAAGAGCACTCCCCAATAACCTGGTACTGAATTATTTAAAAGTATAACCAATTTGAAGGGCTCCCCCTACAAGTTGGTAGTAAACACCAATTATTCAAAGTGGAACCACTCTCTTCATCTCTGTGGTGGTACAACCTGTGCAAACATGCACTGCGAACATGTTACATTCACAATCCATGTCCACACATGAGGGTCTTAATGCACAAAATCGCATGCTGATTTTAATATGGAATTATCCATATGACTTATATGTGTGCATGGAATGGAATGCACGCGTGTTCCTAATTAACGATAGGAAGAACAAAGCTTTCATTTCTGTGTGCACCTCATTAGAATACAGGAAAAAAATAATTAAATATTATAAACATATCTTATTCTAGGAATAACGCGCGCTCAGTAACAGGAAATTCCACTTGGCTAATATGTACATCTAAGAGCATTACAGATTGGTGAGCGGGGGTGGGGGGGGGGGGGGGGGGGGGGGGGTGAAGAATTACACCAACATATAAATTCCATTTTGTATATGTTGGGCCTGAGGCTTAATGGAACATTTAACTACATTATGGAATTTTAATATCTTATTTACAAGTTTCTCTACATCTTAAGCTACATTAACACTAGACATGATTACGACAAGACGACACGATACAGATGCGCGCAGTGTTGAAGAATACAAACTACACGATGATATGATGTCTTCATGTCGTTATCGTGTCTAGTGTAAATCTAGTTTTAGAGGAATAAGTTGGCAGGATGTCCTTAAGCTGGGCATTCGCTGCGTCACTTTGGTCGGCCGACGAATCCAACCCCGCTCCCTTGAGTGTTAGATGACGCAACGCCATCTGCCGATCGTCAGTGGCAGTATGAACGGATTGTCATTAAAAACGATCCATTGTGCATGTCGTGGAATCACGTCGGCCGACGACAGTCGTGTGCAGTGGATGCCTGGCTTCAGTAGCAGTTAGAATACCTGACGATTAGTGATAATTTCTCTATAACCCCAAATGTTACATACAGTATTATGTTATTTATTGTTATTTATTGAGTATAGTTTCGCCAGCGATTTTAGGAAAATTACTGAAATCTTCCTGTTTTTTTCATCACGAGATAATATCTTAAGCTATTAATTACACATTTCATTTCATTATGTGTGTAAATAACGCACATAATTTATTATGTGTGTAAATAACACATAACAAAACTAGGAGGCCAATATCCCTACCATATAACGAAGACTCATTTATAGACTGTTAACTATCATCTCGACAACTTTACACAGATAGGGCGACAAAACTGTTATATTGCGAGATATTCCTCTTCAATATATCTATGCATGGGCCAAGGAGTCTCTCAAAGCGCTGTCTGTCCAGTTTGACGCATTTCAATGGCCCACGGGCAACAACTGTAGCAGCACGTGGTCGGTCCAATATCAAGGCAATCTCGCCTGCAAAAAAATATAAAAGAATCATTGAATATTTATCCCCAATAAGCTTATAATTATCGCATCACAAATATCCTCATTATATTCACATTGTTTAAAAAAAATTATACATATGCATAGAAAGAAAGAAAACATGATAAACTGTACATTAATTTTAAAATAAAAAGAAGTAGACATGAAATTCTTGAGCATGTTGCAATTGCGAAGGTAAAATATAATGTCAAAATCAGACAATGTAATAGAATATATACAAAAACATACATATATGAATCAATCAATCAATGAAATATGTTTAATATTTTTTTAGGCAAATATCTGATAAATAAAAAAATTATCATTTGTTTTTTTTTCACGTTTTAAAAACATACACTTTTGTGTAATAACAACTCTCATTATATTCCGATAGTTGTGTATATATAAAGAAAATTATACATAAAATTAATATGCATAGAAAGAAAAAATAATAAATGTACTTTTGTTGTTATAATCAATATGTAGACATGACATTCTTGAACATGTTGCAGTTACAAATAAGATTTTCTATCACTGTGGGCAGCAGAAAGAGTGGAAAAGAGAGCAGACCAAGAGAGAGACCCCCAGAAAATGATAGATGGACTGCATTGGACAAGATGGAAGATTGGTGGCTGGACCTAGAAGGATTGCACTAGGTGGAGGATGATAATGAGACAACCCAACTCCCTCCTCCACCCACTCCATGAGGAGACAAACGGGAGGATGTTGATGATGATGATGATGAAATATTTTAAAAAATAGATAAACCTACCAAAGTAATCTGACGTGCCCAATTTACTAACTTCAATGAAGTCCTCGCCGTCTGTGCGGCGCTGAAGTACTGCTGCGCTACCCTGTAAAATATACAGTAAATAATAAATAATTAAATAGTAAAGATATGTGAAAAGCCGAGTTCCTTTGAGGAACTCTGTTAACTCGAGTGGATCTGTAGCTTTGTCGTCAAGATACCTCATGACTGGAACAATTCTCCATTCCCAAGCATCACATTATTTTCATATAAGAGGGCACCTGAATATCAGTTAAACTTGAAGGGTCACCTTCTATTGATATGGTATAAGTCAAGGCCTACACTATCAAATTCTGTCTTCCAGCCCTACAGGCAATGTATGATCAGATAGCCTATGTTTATTTCATACATATCTGATCAAACAAAGTGTATGTCATAGAAGTGCCTCCCCCAGTCCCCTTGGGCAATGTATAATCAGAGTTTGATAGCCTATGTTTTTTTCATACATATCTGGTCAAACAAAGTGTATGTCGTAGGAGTGATGTTTTGCCCTACCTGACATTTTATCATACCGAAAACTCAGTACGTCCCCAAATTTTTTTCTCATGTATTTTGGGATGTACTGAGTATTCGGTACGATAAAACGTCAGGCAGGGCAAAACATCACTCTTATGATATTTCCCTGACGTGATAAAGTGTATGTCCTTCCATGTTAAAGTCTGACCACACTATCAAATTTTTTTTTTAAAAAGCTGTTGTATGCCCATATATAGTCATGATGTTACTATATATGGTCATGATGTGATGTCATCATGATCATATTAAGGCATGTTGCATGTTTTTGTCCAATCAAATTTGATAGTCTGGGCAAGGCTGTAGGCAATGCTCTACATACCTCTACTATGATGTAGAAATCATCGCCAGGCTCTCCCTGAGTTACCACACTCTGGCTGTCCTCAAACTGTACAGGGACAAGTGCATCTGCTACAGTCAGCCTCTCCCATTGGTCTAAGCTATCTGCAATCACAAATTTTTAAACAAGTTTTAATTCATGATCAAAAACAAAAAAGAAGCTGTTGCACATAAAAAAAAAACACACTGTAATGTCTTTGGACATAATAACCAGGTGTCAGTATGTAATGTTTTGATAGTAATAGACAATAAAGACAACACAATTTTTGTCTCCATCTTGTGAAATCCTTTACCACATCATACAACCAATTATTATTCCTGATGGAAACATTGTATCTAATGAGTCAGCAAAGGTCAACGGTCGGGGAAGATAAATCAGAAAGGCTTACCAAGAATAGAGATCTTTGACAATAGGTTTTCATACATTCCCCTCTTTCGAATAGTGGATCCCTGTTATAAACAAACATTAATATCATATACAAACATTTTTATTAGCTATTGTTTTTATATTCAAAACAGTGTTAGATAACCCTCTTCAAAAATAGATGTCTTTTGACCTTAAAAAACCTTTTTCATATTTTCAATCAATGCTAATTGCCACTTTATTTATTTATTTTTTTGTTTGTTTATTGTATATGATGAAAATTGAAATTAAATTATGTAAAAAGAATACAGAATGTAAACTAAGTAACATCTTACCATCAAGATTCTTCTGTAGCTGTCGCGATCAATGCCCCATAGTTTGAGGTCTGTTTTAGCCTGAAACAAATCCAAAAGTTAATATTAAAACCAATTATGTGTGCCGTTCATTGTCGGTGTGCATGTTTATGTTTATTAATTGATTGATGATTACATCATCAAGAGCAAAGATCATTCATAAATTTGAATATTCGTAAACTTGACGTTCGTAAAATGGATATAATAAATTAGAATTTATACAAAGAGAGAAATACGATTCTTTCCAAGATTTACAAATAATTTTATAACATCATGTTTTTCTATTAAAGAACACCATATGAAAAAGGACTTATTTTCCATTGTTGTGTGACCTGACTATCATAAGTTTTGACCATTGTTAAACCCAAGTGATACATGCTTTCATAAATTGCTTTCAACGCGACTCACCTTAACGGTAGCTGCCCTAGGAGTACCATAGATGAGAGCCAGCTCACCAAAGCTTCCACCATCGCTAATGGTGGTCACCATGTCTCCATTCACGTACACCTGCAAAAACAAAACCAAAGCTAATTAAAAATGTGATTTAAACAAATAAAGTGGTGCAAAGAAAATAATGGTCTGCACCAGTTATCAAACCAGCAGAATTTTGGAGCACGTTCCAATGCTGTCAACTAAATTTAACTGTTTAAAATACTGTACATAGGCGCAGGCTTGGTGCAGAAGTGTTGATACATCCCCTACTCCCAACTCAACCCATAGTGGTAATTTATTACCATGGGTTGTAATATAGAAATGATAATGAAATTTTCATTGGAGTTCCACATTGTCAATTTTTGCACCACTTCAGAATGACACCAGCATACTGTATGTCCCTGCTACAGTGTAGTACTTTTCATTTCTCAGTAAAGTATAATATTTAATACCAAATTCATAAATAATAAAACAATAAAAAATATTAATAATAAAAACATATACTGATATATTATTGTAATGGTACAGAACTTTGATTTGGCAATTTGTAGCAACTGAGACTTACCTCTACTTCTCCTTTGTCAATAACATAGAAATTATCTCCCTCATCACCTAAAAATAAAAAAAACAAACCATAAATGTTACATGATTTAAAGAAATTTATGGTAACTAATTCTTTTGTAGCGTGCTTAGGCTGGATAAAACATTTGGATAAGCAATTTAATCTGATATTATTGCCTCTGGCCAAGCACTTTTTATCTGGAATTGTCTCTAGCTTTTTTTATGGTTTAATGGTAATTATGCTACAATTTAAGCAGTTTCAGAAAAATGTGTACAGGAAAATTATCCAAAAGACGCACTGACATTTTGAATACACGAACATGTTTTTACTTGACACACATACATCCAATGTAATCTCTCACATATAAGGTTATAGTCATACCTACGTTATAATGCATCACTATTTACTTTTTCTTCATATATTTATTTGGGCACACAACACATGCACCAAGAATTGTCAATAGCGAATTATATCACAGTCCTACATGTTGTAGGTTACAATCACTTAGATAAGACAAACATACACACCACAATGCTTTACACAAACTAAATCTCAATGTGAGGTTTAGGGAGTGGAGTTGCTGTAGTCATGAGAAAAAGTCCTGCAATGCTGACAGGAATTGAGCACTGAACCCTGGACCCTTGGACTGGAAGGCAAGCATCTCAACCACCAAGATATTCTACTCACTCCATTACAACTATCAAGGAAGCATGTTGTCTAATTTTCTCTACCTGAATGTTTCTTTCAGAAAATTGTTCTAACTTACCTTGTTGAATAACAACCTCGCCGGCGTTGTGTTTCACTGGGAACATGGCATCAAATATATCACTATAAAAAAAATAAAAAAAAAAATTATAAATTGTATAAAAATACACTTATCTACTTGTGCAAGTAGAAAAATTGCAAATATGAAATGTTTTAAATAATGTTATGTTAATCCTCAAAAAATGTACTTGTCATTAGGACACAGGTAAGTGAAGTGCTAATACTTTAAGCTTGTCTGTGTGAAAAAAAACTGATACTGTATGTATTAGCGTCATTGTTCATATTCACAACAGAGTAGCTGGTGAAGAGACAACTTTCCAGCCGTCAAAAACTAGTATTTGTCAACAAATTTTCCAAGGCCCTTTTTGGCTGGCTAACCTGAATGAACGTTCTGTAAATTTGTAGTATAAGAAGCAAAATTTTGTTCCAAAGTAAGTGTTCGGTCATTTTAAAACAGACTTGAATAAGCATTTGTACTGAAAAACGAGAACCTCTAGTGTTTTCAAGCAATATATACAGTACACCAACACATGGAGAATTTAAACATTTGTTTGCATGCATTTTAATAAACTGTTAACTGTACGGCTTGATCAGTTTAATCAATTATTATTTATTTAGGCGCACAACACATGGCCAAGGAAAAATGTTTTAAAATTTTATTCAATGTAATTTAAGTTGATTGGTTAGTTTGTATTTTGTATAATTATTTTATTTTTTTATTTATTTATTTTTTACACTTCTTTACTTTTTATTATTTTTTATATACAGGTATTTACTTATTTTTTATTATTTTATTTAATATTTTTTATTTTATTATAATTAATTATTTATATATTTTGTCATATTACTATTATTATATTATTATTATCTTTATTATTATTATTATTATTTTAACAGGTGGTCATGTCTTAAAATTGGTTTACAAACTTATTTTGACCTCCTACCGCACACTTTTTCTCTCTGATTTTGTTTGATTTAAATAGTTACCGTTAATTTATATTTTATATGTGTGTGGTAAAAACAATAAAAATAAACAAAAAAAAAACATTTCAGTAATTGACTCATTGAATCGTGAGCTTAGTTTATAAAAAATAGCTAATATTAAGCTGAAAATACATGTTATCTACTCAAGTCACGACACATCTGTAAATCATTCAAGACCAATTACTGAAAGCTGATAACCTTTGCGATTCTTATAAATGAGCAATCTGAGATAAATTTTAATTCTCGAAGTAGTTTTTTTTTGGTGGATTTTTTTTTTTTTGCGTGGCTACTATATTGTCAAACATTCCAACAATTTTAAGATGCAGTGTTGCTACATTTAAATCTGTTACAATGTGCATAGTACACGTAACGAACTTGACTAGACCTAGAAAATCTAGAATGAGCAATCAGAGATATATTTGAATTCTTGAAGTATTTTTTTTTCTTGGTTGATTTTTATTTTGTGCGTCTATATAATATCAAACATTCCAACTGTTTTAAGATAGAGTGTTGCAACATTTAAATCCGATAATGTGCATAGTAAGTGTTAACAAACTTGTCTAGACCTAGAAGGTCTAGAATGAGCAATATCAGGGATATTTTAATTTTGAATTCTTTTTTTAAATTCTTGTTTTTTTTTGTAGATTTTTGTTGTGTGACTATATATTGTCAAACATTTCAACGCTGTGTTGCTATGCATTTAAATCTGCCAATGTGCATAATAAACGTTAACGAACTCGTCTAGACCTAGATGGTTGAATGACATACTGTAGGAGCCAAACAGGTCATGGAAGACGACTCTTGCTTCGGTTGGAGATTATGGTAACGTAATTAAATATTCAATTACATGCGCGTTTATTCTGTACTGGGATTGCAAGTTATATATGTAAGCTTTAATGATACTTGATGTATTTTCAGCCGACGCAGAATAGATCATCATTTTATGTGCTTTAGGTTGCAGACAAATAGATGAGAGAATTTTTAATGTAACACAATTGAATTCAGACTGCAAAAAAAGTGTAACATTTAGAGCAGCAATTCAGTGGCATGTACAGGGGGTGCCCCAAAAAAGGGAGCAAGGAGGGGTCACAGATAGAAGATTTATCCACCTCAGCCCCACCATGGTTGGGGCTAAGGAAAGCAAATTCATGAATATTGCACCTTTAGAGGGCCGGAAATGGCAGTCTGACTTAAATTTTATTATGTGATTTTTTATTATTTGAATCAGCCACTGCATGGAGCCCCCACTTCACTTCACCTCCCCCATCAGCACCCCCCCCCCATTTCAAAACGCCTAGATACGTCACTGCAGAAATTGAAATTACCCTCATAATGTTTTTACTTTGCTCAAGTCAAGTAAGTAGGGGTACATACAAATTTTAACAAACGCTTTCGAAAATTTTATTACCGATACCACCACTCGGCCGTTCCAAGGCAAACTAACGTAACTTAACAGAAATAAAAAAGCAGTTACGTTGTTTTGCCATAGGATGGCCACGCTATAGAATGCTTGAATTTACTAAATATAATTTTTAATGTAAAAGTAGTCCACACCTTCAAATTGTATGTGACAAATATATACAGTTGCCTATATAGAGCATGATATGACACCATTATGCCCATGGCAAATCACACATTTGTCACAAAAAAAAGTGACAGTGCTAGAATTTATTATTTATTATTGTTTAAATTTAAAGGTTTGTCCATACTTTTGAATTTTTATGCGACAAATATTATACGAAGTTGCCAGCATAGAGTGTGAAATATGATATCATTATGCACATGGCAAATCACCCTATTGTCACATTTTCTTGTTGATAAATCACACATTTGTCACAAAAAAACTGTGACAGTGTTGAGAGAGCTTTGCACAGATCCTCACCTTCTTTCATTATCATCAAGATGAGCAAAGAGAACATTTTTAGCAATTGCTTTCGACAATGCTGCCATGGTCTTATAGTCCTTTGGTACAACCTGAAATTATAATTGAACACAAATGAAATTGTTTTTTTTTTTTTAAATTGGATATGGGATTTATATTCTATGTTGGTACTCATCATTATCTCTGTAGCATCTGGATGAATGTGTGCTTCGGTTGACGGGCCATCACCAAGTGCTCATTATACTGTTCTAAATATTTTTTTTTTTCAATGTAAATGTATGTTTGAAGTTTAAAGTATCTAGAACCTAGATGGAACGACTGCTCTGCAATCATTCTCTGGGGCAGCGGGGCTAGTCACTGCCGGTTTTCACCGGGGGCTAATCCCTCGGTTCTACCACCGTCAACTGTTAACCATTATTCTGTAATTAAAACATAAAACATAAAGCATTTTTGAAACTTGTGCGATACAAGCAGTATAGTCAGTACACTGACTAACTGACTGATTGTTTTCAACTCTTAATTTGTTACTAAAATTCATTTAAATACTTTACAATCAATACTTTGACTTTATTTTCGAGAATGTACTGTTACTTACTTTCTTCACGTATGATGTAATCTCCTTTTCGGTAATGGCTTCCGAGCTAACCCCTCCTCTTCTCTTTCTGACAGGTGGTACTGTCGTTGGAGAGACCTCTTCATCTCTTTCATCCTCATTGGCCGATGTAGAAACTGGTTGAATCTTTTTCTGGGTATCCTATTAAAAAAAAGAAGAGATTATTCAATTTTGTGATTTTTAAATTTGGTCCAATTTGGAAATAGAAGGCTGGAAACATTATATGCATAACAAAACAAACAAACAAACAAACAAACAACAGGAGTACTGTATGGTACTGTCAGCTTGGCTTCTTCGGTCAGTACAACATCTAAATGGTACTTATAGGTTTGAATCCTGATGGTGACAATATGATTTCAATCAAGTTATTTTATATACACTTTAATACATTATATTTAAGCAAAGAGAAGAGAGTTGAAGCAGGGGTCCCAAGATGAAAGAAATGTCTGCTGGTAGATCTGGTTAAATGAGCTTCCTTAACATATTTAATTTCATTTTGCTTCGCATGGTGATACCCATCAGCACTGACTTCCGGGGTGACAATTGATAATGTAAAAACATTAGGGTATTTTCCAGAAGATCTTGCTTGCTTGCTGGAGTACAGGAGGCTGTCCTGATTTCCAGGAGATCTGAGACGCCTGTTGAAGCTGCCCCCGGGATAAATACGAGACATGGTGTTGCAAAACAACGTCATGAAATAAGAGAGTGGCAAGGCACCATGGGAATGGCAAACATAGTTAATACATAAACTAATGAATCAGAATGTCAATCAATATATTTATTTCTTGTTTTCTTGTTTGGGAATGTATATTTTTGATAAGACAAGCCTTTTTCATACCTTGTTTAGAGAACTACACGCCCGCCAACAATGATCTTTCCCGAATAAAAATTTTTTTTGGGTCAATTAGCACACCCGTTACCACTAAGATATGGAAATTTCAGAAAAAAAAAAAAAGTTTTTTTCTTGATTTTTATTGAGATCGCCGCTGCCTTGAAATCTCCAAAAATATGTATATTTCTTCATAATTATATAAGTTTGAAGAATTTACCTGTAACCATCCCATTACTACACTGTTTAAATTCACCAATAAATTCTATTTTTATTTTCTATGTCTGGATGTTTTTGGCAAAACTATTTGCTACTGTAAATACTGTTAAAGTAAACAAAATTTTATTTCTTTTTCCGGCCTCCTCTGATGGTCTTTGAAAAAATAAGATTGCGAAACAAGGTATAAAAAAGTCTCGTCTAAAACAGTTTTTTTGAAATGGTTCTATATTTAACATAGTAAATATAGATGTACGTTAATTATTATTGATCTTAAAAAAAAAATCAACACTCATTATCCACATACACATTAAGGATTTAATGCAAAGTACCGTAGCCTGAGGCTGTATTGCGAATTATAATATGTTTAGACAATCTATGGCAAAACCTAATGAAACAGTAAAAATATTTAAAAATTATTAGAAGGTTACCGTTACATTTTTTCATTTGGCCTAATAATCTGAATAAGGTTATAATTAAATCGGTGGGTTGTTGATATCTTCCTGACCCTGGACAATGTCTTCTTCCTCCTGATACACAAGCAAAGGCAGAAGCTGTTACATTGTACTTGCCAGTGGGTACTTGCATCTATCCACATGTGGAAATGACACTGTCCCAACATCGGTTGGTATAATTAACATAGTACAGTAACTAGTATTTTATTTAATATTATTTCAATACAAACATTCAATTTTTTTTTTTTTTTTTTGGAATTAGTGCTTTGTATCCTCCGGAAAAGGCAAGGTACAAAATACCTCGACAGTACTGTACATTACATAATCATAAGGCAAATATACTAAAGGAACAAAGCTCTATAAAACTACTAAAAGTTTTTATCTTAGATTTTTTAAAATTTGATAAAGCTGCAATTTTAATCAAGACAAAGTGAATTAAAATTTCCAGAACAAGTAATACACAAAAGACCTAAGTATAAACAGTTAGAATGTTTATTGTTATATAATAGCAACAACCATACCCTAAGATATGGTGGAATAATTATTAAGAAAAACAGTTCAGAAAAAAAAAAATTAACCAAAAACAATATTTTATATTACCATTCGTTAATGAAATAGGTTAGTGCAGTTCTACTCTACTTTAGTACACTCTGTACTGTTGACTGCGACCTCAGATCAACACACCTAATGTATCCAAATCAGACATATACTGTAATTTGTCAACAGTCTCAGACACCAACTCACCGGTAAATGAATTATAATGAAAAGGGAAGAGGCTTTAAATTGCCGATCTCCCTAATTGCTGTGATAATGATACCAGGAAAGACGCGTCTTTACCCCAATTAAGACACTAGCAAGAAATTCTCACTTTCATATGATTACCGAATGTAAAAGCACGCAAATAGTACAACTCGAGCTATGCAGACGATCACTCAAAAAGAAAAGTGTTTACAATGCTGTCCAAAAGAACAAGTAATCACTGACTATTGATGTGAATGAATTGAGAATTTTCTATGAGCCTACAGTACTATGTACACCTTGTCATCTCGTTTTTTATACTATACTATGTCTTAATGAACGAATGTACTGTGTTCTTTTAATGTTTTATTGTGTTTATAACAAACCATTATAGGGTTGATAATGCACCACTTGATAGTGTGTGCCACTGTTATAAAAGTGTATGGTTCAATAAAGTTATTATTATTATTATTATTATTATTATTATTATTATTATTATTATTATTTCACTAAATCAGATTTAAGGGGAATGTCTTTCGTGTTATTTTTAAATTGTTCTCTAATTTCTCCATTTTCCTAATGTCCTCTCTTAAGGCAGGTTTTAGTAACATTATTATTATCACTATTATTATTATTATTATTATTATGGAGCGGTTGGCGCACCGGTTGTGCCTTGGACTCCCAACCTTGAGGTCGGGGGTTCGAAACTCTGGCTGTGCAAATCATTTGTGTCCTTGGTTGCCTCTCTGCACCTAGGAGTACAAGTGGGTACCTGGTAGGTTCCAACACAACCTGCGCTGATTACTAGCTGCAATTTATGGAATGATAATATAATTTAATTTACTAATTTAATTTGGTGTTTCAATGTGTTCTATATGTGTTTGATCCAATGACCGGGGTAGTAATGTGAAGTGCTTTAGAGGCCTTGTAAAGTCTTGAAGCGCTATATAAGAACGACATATTATTATTATTATTTATGCTTAAGTAAAAATTATCAAGTTAAAAAGTAGTAAAATTTATTTAAACAATCCCTCAAATATTTTGGCTAAGGAACCACAAAATGACCAGCAAATGCACATATGGGACAACATGTATTCTTAGCCCTGTTGTGAATGGTCATTTAAATTGGATCAACACTTTGGAAAGGTCTATTACACAAGACCCGCATATTTTATCGCCATCATATCTAGTTGTCATCAATTCTGACAAAAAAAACTCTCAATCTATTTATCGTTGGTACTTCTAAAACGGCAAAAAATCTATGCCAAGGACAAACTCCGACTGTTTAATTTAAAATTGTAGGGCATGAGCTGACAAAACTTATGGAAAATAAAATCAATTTTGGATTGCTTTATACTTTGTATCTAGATTTATTTTTAACTTTCAATTTTTCCTGCATTTAACTACTGTACATTTAACAATACTACTGTTTCTACTGTATATTGAATAGACCCTTAATTTAGCCAATTTAGGGATTTACGTAGTAAAACTTCATCTAGGCGTTTATATATACAGGCCCGTAGTTTGTGGGAGGTTCGTTTCAGTGGAAAGTGGACCCTTATCTTCGATATTCTGGATAACATTGTAAATACATCTACGAACGTCAATTTTTCGTTTTTAAATGCGGACCTTCTCCAGTTTTTGGGTGGATTGTTGTAACCCCCTTAATCCCCACACGCCACGGGCCTGATATATGTGGGTGTACACGGTGGGAGGTGAATAATTTGGAAATTTTGTAGGGGTTCTAAATGTCCCACAACTTGCTAGAAGCTCCTGGAAATCAGATGGCAGCCTGCAAACAAAATCACCCGGAAAATACACCTATCTCTCAATCTACTATATCTCATAATATTTGAATGTTTTTAGTACTTTATTATCTATTTTCTCGGTGTGGATGGGTCTTGCTATACGCAGCCAAATAAAATTTAATGTGTTAAGAAAGTTTATTTATAACCAGATCTCCCACAAGGGAATTCTTCCAAATTGGGACCCCTCCCCCACCCCGGTTTTGTACATTGCATTACATTGTGTACGTTGACTTTGTAGTCAATAGCCGGGGGACAAAAGTGCTCGTATCTGAAAAAAGATGCTACAAAATACCTAAATAAAAGAATAAAAAAATTAAATATATATGCAAAAACTTTTTAGGGTGAACAGATCTACTATAAATACACTTTGTACCAAAGAGTATTAAGTCTAACAACATATCACGAGATCATTATGCTTTAAATAAAAATGTAGCTCTTCAGAGTATGATGGACTACTTTAAAGCTAGTCTAGTATACTGTACATCAGGGGTGTAGCTATGGTGGGCAGAGCCACCCAGCCTTCAAGTTTTCCACCCAGTCTAAAGCTAATTTCATTGCTCACCACTCACCCTTATTAACCCACTTTTTCATCCTTAAAATCCACTCTTATTATTTAAAGTTCTCCAATGTTAACACCCACCCACGCTTAAAATGAAATACTGTATCGTCCATATTTAGTTTTCTACAGATACAACCCTGTACGAATAGGTTGTGTACCAGTACTGACGTATTGTATGTATTATTATTAATTCAAAATCCTTCTTACGTAGAAATTGCCAAAGCGGCGACAAGACAAATAATCATTATTTGTGATAAATGATATACTGTACTTTTTTAAGTAATTATTTATCCACATGAGGCCAGGATTGCCAATAGCGGATTTAATCACCGTCTTATATTAAGTGGCAATTGCTTTCAAGCGACATACCATACACATTAGGAGGATGATTACCATTATAGTAATAGGGTGTGCCCGAGTTGGATTTGGTCGTAAGAAAAAATATCATCACCTGACAGGACTAGAACCATGGACTGGACATCTTAGCCACCAAGCTATATCGCTACTATGAAAATTATTGTTTGATTATGAAATGAACAATACGCAGCAAAAAGATACTTCAAATATCAAAAAATTGTCCAAATTGAGAGCTACATTAATACTATACTATAAATTTGGCCTGTGGGTGACTTTCAGTAGCTACTATACTACAGTATTACACCAATGATTTCAGTGACAAAAAATATGCTAAATTTGATTGTTATTTTTTTAATCAGGATCCGGAGGAAAGAAAAATGTTGATATGTTCTAAAACTGATTTTTCTAAAGAAACAAAAAGCATATTTAACGAAAAACTCTTGAGCGGTTAACGAGATACATGTACATATTTTTGAATATTGAAAAACTGGGAGAAAATGTGGAAAAAAAGTGGGAAATCCCCCTTTCACCCAGTTTTTAAATATTCAAAAATCTGTATCTCATTAACAGCTTCCAAGTTTTTTGTTAAATATGCTTTTTGTGTCTCAGAAAAATCAGTTCTACAGTATTGTACAACATATGAAAATTTGTTTCCTCCAAAGACTGGCTTTAAAATTCTATTACTAAAGACCAAACTTGTCCATAGAAATTACAGTATATGGACACGAGTCTGTGAGTAAATCAAACTTGACCATAAAATTAACAATTACCTTCAATCATTTTACTGCAGAGATTCTGGCAATAAATTAAATCTGATGTTGATGTGTCTAGACTGAATGCCTAATAACATTTAGATATGGGTTGTGGGATGAAAAACAGGTTGCAGGATGGAGGCCTGAACTAATCCTTGTTCACTTCTCTATTCTATCATCACACTATACTATTTTTACTTTCAGTGTATTTTGCAATTTTACATATTTCTGTTTTGTTCAGGGATTATTTTCTGTATTACTGTTAAGTTTATCTTTATATTATTTAAGTCACTGCTTTCTAAAAATTGTTATTTAAACTTATTTATTTATTTTGTTTTGGTTTAGGCCGAAGGCCAAGGATACGCCAGGCAGCGAAAGCTATTCATAGTGGCATATCCCTTCACAAGACAAACATGCTCTACAGAAACTAAGCCTCATTATGAGGCTTAGGGAGTGGAGTTGTTTTAGTCATGAGAAGAAAATCCTGTATACCATGACAGGAATTGAACCCATGACCCTGGAATTGTAAGGCAAGCATCTCAACCACCAGGCTGTTCAATTCCAATCCAACGTTTTGAACCACTTTAGAAATCAATGTTTTTAGCACTGAAAGTGTTATTTAGTATAAAGTCAAAATAAATAAATAATACTAGCAGTACAGGGCAAAACCTATGCCCTCAACTTCACAAGCATTATACCAGCTGGTCAACTTCCCCAGCCATCAATCCAATGCGTGATCATTATTCTAGCTACTCTGTGCTAATTCCTAGGCTACCATGCATCTACAACCACTATTTAAACATCAATAATTGTAGATTGAAGAAATGAAAAACCATTATAACTAATCAATATGTAAATTTGGTAAATTCATCCAAAATATGCATGTCACTTAAATTCATTTCTCAAAAATGGATTTTTGATTCATTCAATATTGGTTCATCTGACCTGGATGACAAAACAATCAACATGCAGATATTATGATGAGTAGAAAATAATTTATGTGTACATTTCTCAATTTCTGAAAACGTGAAATTTTGAACATCAGAGATTTATATAGCCATTGAAGTAAAATAAACTGAAATAAATTTAAAAACTACAAAATTAAAATTGATGATTAACTAAAGGTTATAATTGAAAAGCTTGCATCAGCTTGTACTATTGGTGAGTTTGTACAAATGTACTGTACTCTTCTGAGAATGTAATCCATTAGTATTTACAAGGTTTGTCAACCAATTAAATATTTTTATATATTTTTCTTAGGCAAGACTTTTTATACCTTGTTTAGCGAAACCCACCACCCGCCCATATTGTTGATTTCTAATAAAAATTAAATTTTAATTTTGGACAATTATGGTCACCCGCCAACACAAAAAATGGAAATTTCGGAAAAAAATAAAAGTTTTTTTTTTATTATACCCACCACTGCCTTGAAATCTCAAAAAATAAGATGAATATTTCTTCCTAATTACTATATATAAATTGAAAGCATTTAACCATCCCATTACTAGTACACTGTTTACATTCACCAATAACATTTTATTTTTATTTTCTCCTCTATCTGGATGTTTTGGCAAAACTGTTTGCTAAATGAAAAACCAGAATTTATTCACATTTCTTTTTCGCCCTCCTCTGACGATCTTTATAAATTCCGAAACAAGGTATAAATCCCGCCTTAGTTATTGTATTACTATCATTGTTAAATTTCCAAATACCGTATGTATACAAACATCAGGATTATTATTTATTTGAATGACAAATACCATTAATACATCAAATGTCGGTAATGTAAAGCTCTGTCTAGATTATGCCCATATATAGTCATGATGTGCCTATATATGGTCATGATGTTATGTAATCATGACCATATTTAGGCGTGTCACATGTTTTTAGTTGATAGTTTAGACAGGGCTTAAAAAGATTCATTATCCATTCTTTTCACGAATATAGGTCTCGTGGAATTCTTACAAATAAGGATCATAAAAATTCAGGTGTAATAAAAAAAATCCTCATCAATTAAAATTTCACCCACTGTATATATAAAAAAGAAATCAGTTGTTTTGGCTCCACACAACCTTCGACAGGTGAGATACATTATGGCAAATTGCTACGGATTACCAACTCGTATTGTGAGATGCGCAGAGAACGTGTCAATATCACACGTTCGTGCTCTTACCGCTCACTGTTCGATTACAAAAAATTAACATATGAGTCACACACATGCAGAATCTAGCACACAGGTGATTACAAATTTCTGCTCATTAACACTTATCCTCAGATTAATAAATATGCCTATCGACACAGGGTATCCATTTAAAATAATTAATCGCAAAGGTTTGAATAGAATTTCTTAATTAGCGTGATTTAATATACCATACAGTGCGCTAAATAGCAGGACACTTACGTTACTGGGTGGGTTCCTATCTGATGAAGAGCTCCTCCGTATTTTCAGGAAAGACCGAATATAATCCATAGTTAATCTGTAGTCTCTACCACCTTATATCTAACTCTGTTGATGTCAAAGTTCACATCAGTCCACATAACTTAGAAAGAGGATTAGTGTGCGAGAAAAAAATACACCGCGGACATTAAGACGGATATTATTTACAAAACAGGAACAGGAAAAAATCGGATAAACCTCTTGATGAAATGATGCTTAGTAGTGTCCTCTGTGTGGTGCTGCATGAAAAAAGATGGCTGCCTATTTAATTGCAGTCTCGAGGATTACAGAAGCTAGAAATCACTGAAGCAAAGCCGGGATCATTATGTTTGAATTACAGATGCATCGCTTGCAAGGTGACTCCCTAGCTGTAGAGGAAATTCAAAATGCTAATGCAGTGCCACGGCAGCCTAGTAAATCAATTAGATTGGACTCCTCAGCTTCATGGAACTTGAAGTAATGACATAACAGCTCTCTAGGCGGTGCTACAGTTACAGCTGAATGAATTAACAAATGTGTGATACTGATTTTATTTACAGAAATTTCTCAATTAAATAGCTTTGTTTTACAGCTTATTTAATTTCTAATCCTTTCCTAGATACTAAAAACTAAAAATATAGTATTCTTTGTTTTTATCTTGTTGTTAGTAATACATCTGATAGCTTAAGAAATAAAAATATCAAAATTTGTTAATTAAAAGAATGGTAATTAATTCATGGATGAAATTACTAATGTCCAAACTAACAGTATTAGTACATGGAAATTGATATTAGTATTACTTCATTTTTTTATTAAACTAAACTTTAATAAGTAAAGTAATAAGACAACTAACCAGTGGTTTCACCTCATAAACCAAATTTTTATACATAGTGTACCAAACATTTACGATTTTCTTATTAATACTCGCCATGCAAACATTGTGAGAAATATAGTAGTAGGCCTAATGTTATAAATCAGCAATTTTGAACTTAAAAATAAGAGTTGGCTTTGCAATATAAACCAACCCCACAATAAAAACCAGAAATGTATATTCAAATTCCCTGTTCATTGGAAAATAAAGCTTATCACCTTATTATTTTAACTATTTAAATTCCAATATGTAATAATTTTAGGAATGAACACTTCCAGCTCCACCACCAGTAGCAAGGCACAGAGACAACACATTTTGATAGTGAAATGTCTCTGGCATTCAAATTTGTATTTTTCCAACCAGTTAAGTGCTTGGGCCACTTTCAATTTCAAGAGCATAAGACTGAGATATACTGTACTATATCAATACATACATTAACACACACATTCTCTATGAATAATTAATTTGACGGAGAAATCTACCACTATTTGAAATTTCAATTATCGCAAATCATTTTTCCATTTAGTGTAGGTAGAATTTAGGACTACTACTACCACCGCTTTGCTAATTACAAACAGACTAAGTTTAATACAAAATCTTTAATTAAAATTACTTACGCCAAGGTCACAATTTGTGATTAAGACATCATGTGTATTGTTAGCCTTAATTTAAGCCTGTATTCAATCATCTAGATTTTCTCTTTGTAAAAAAAAAACTGACCAGCCAATAGACACTTAATTCCAAATAAATTGGAACAATTTGAGTTTAAATTTTACTATTATGAAGAATTTTGGGAGGAAAAGGTCAAAGGACAAGACCAAGGTCATGGAAATACAATTTTTTACCCTCGAGCATAAAAGAAAATAATGGAATCGCCCATAACCAGCCTGCATATTGTTCGGTATTCAGGCACAGGGCTGAGGTGTGCACAATACAGTATTATTGACTGCTCTAGTTATTTTAATGTTAATTACAGTAGTGTCTCCATTTATTGATCTTATACAAAACAATGGCACCAGAAATATGCTGACAAGGGATCCGACATGTCCGATGAAGGGGTCCAAACCAAATCCCTAAAGCCTCGGTCGATGGCCCAGAATAAAAAATCCTTGGGTTCTTAGGAGAGTTTTTAGTATGGTCCAAAATGTGCTTTATACCAAAATATTAGGGATCAATGGTGACCTACAGCAGTCGCGCGTTAGACGACAGGGGTCCACGCCTGTCCAACGGGGGTAAAATGCCCCCCTGCCACCACCACTGCTTATACATGGTAAAATATGGTAGTAGTACTCTTGTTTCATGGTGCACTCATATTTTAAAACATCACTTTGCATTAGCAATTTCAAAAATTTTGAAATGTTTTGTAACTAGTGTTAACAGATTATTAAACAATCCTATTGAATGGGCAATAATGTCTGAATACCAAAATGTTATATCACACATGTTTAAGAATTTTGAACAAATGGTGGTGCTAAAAACTTTTTTTTGTAGTAATTAAGTTTTTAACACTAAAAGAACATTTTCATTGAATATCTCATTAACTATGATGTTTTATCAATGTCAGCATCCATATTTTTATTTTATAATGGGCATTAAAATTTATAAAAGTGTATGAAATCAGTTTTAATTTGTTTCCCTAGAAGGAATATAATTGATACCAGGCAAACTGTTGAATGTCTGAAAACTGAGCTATCAGGTTACAATTCAGCCATGTGAAGTCGAAATCGGGGTGTTTTTCACTGCAATAATCGCACAGAATACAGAATCGCAGTTTTTTATTAAATATTAAATATTCATAAGAACCTATTTTTTGGTTAAAATGTTGATTTTTTTTGTTAAAAAATACTTGCAAATACACCACAAACCTCCAAACACACTGCAAACCCCATCCAAACCCTTTAATTATGATTGTAGAACTCTCTATTTCTAAGTGAAATTGGCCACAAATAAATTATTTTAGTATTAAATAAATGCATGATTTATGTTGATTTATTGATTATGCTACTTTTTAACATTTAAATGGAAAAAAAATAAAGAGTGTTATTCATGGCTTTTTTTTATCTTTGAATATTTATCATTGAATATGTAATTCCTGCAAAAAGTAAAATGTAAATGGCAATTTATTTGATGTTAGATTCTTTTTTAAAAAGTGATGGTTTCTAAGAAATGACCAAAATTGAAGGCTGATTTCTCCAATATTGTTCTTTAAACATCTGTATGTTTAAACTCCTGTAACTTCATAACGAAATGTCAGATTCAAATGATTCTTTTACTAATTCATAGCTCACATTTTACTGTTTGACCTTATATTAATAACTAAAAATCAATTTTTGCGACGAGTGACTATTATGGCTTGTCTTTGCCACATATATTATTATTACGGAGCTTTCGATTGCACGACGACGGTAGGACGTAGAATGTAGAACGTAATGACGTCACTAAAAGTCATCTGCACATGCGAGAACATTAAGGTCACCTCGTCTAATAGATTCTGGAACGCAATTTGGCCAAATCTACGTATGCAGAGAACGCAGGACACCAGGTGGGATGGTCACGCATAAGTGATTCTGTTCTAGCGTCGTTGTTGCACAAATCGGAAGTTCCCTATTGTCATAATACCTGTACATAACATGCCTTCTTGTATTATTTTTTTAAATGCATGATTCATGTACACTTTTTACAGAGGTTTCATCCTACTAACAAGTTTAAAAGCGAACTGTAGTATGTTCTTTCTTAATATTTGAGGTGTTGAATAACTGAGGCTACCTCCCATTGCAAGGCTGAAATGAGAATGTAAACAGTTTTCTCTGAACTATATATGTTCACCTTTTAGAGTCTCAAGTTGTTTTCTTCTGTCCAGGCTAGCTTTAATGCATGGTTTTGTTTATTGCCTATAGTGGAATCCTCCCACATATATTTCTCATTCATACATCAATATTATATACATTGCAATAATATTTCATTGTTTGTGGACATGGGACACATTGTACCTAGGCCTTTCAAAGTGGTACTGTTGGTAGCAAGACTTAGTCGAAAGGAAAACGTATTTTAAAATTATGTCCTGCAATGCTAGAAGGTGGCCGTGACTTAATATTTATCAGTACCATTTTTTAGTTAAAGAGGACCTCTATCAAAAAACATTCGTAATCACAGAGTATCTAAACATCTTTACAACAATACAATTAAATAATTAATAGAAAATTTCAAATATTCAACAATTACAGTAAAAACTGAACTGCATTTAAAACAGGTGTACACTTGTTGAAAATATGCTATTAAATCAATAAAACAGCACACTGCACTAAAAAGCAAATTTTTTGCCAAAATAAAATATTAATTAATAAAATATCATCATCAAAAGATAATAGCATGTTAAAAAACTAAATAAAATGTAGGCCTAACATATTGCTAATTTCGATTTAAAATGTATTGTATAGGGGCCTAGGTTTGGACTTTTTATTATTTAATGGCATTGCCATTATGACTGTTATAATACACTTTAGTTAGGCGTAACATGCAGTCAGTAAATGTAATTTTAGTACTATTAGTTTAGGCCTACCCAGCCTAGGCCTATTTTATAAAGCTTTTATTATTATTTAAATAAAGTTCAACATTAGATAGGCCTAAGAAGTTCAAATATTATTAATTAAAGTTCATTTATGATTTTTAGATAGAGCCCCAGCTCAGCCCTAACTGCCACCATCAGTTCGACTACCATCCCTCCCTGGGCTGACGATTTTATTGAAAAAATTAGGCCAAGTGTCTATTGTACTGTAGCAATAGGCTAGGCCTACTTAACCTAGCCCTAGGATAGGCCTCCCTAAGGGGGCCTAGCTAGCTAATGGCTGAGGCCTACGAATTTTCCAGGTTGGAGGAGCTTGCCTATGCCTTACCCCTTCTAGCTTCTCAAAATAGTCCTTCAGGAATGAAGTTGGATTCTCAGGTTGATGAATGCATAACTCCACAATACAGTCCTTCAACATTTGCTGAATATTGTGCTTTTGCACGTAAGCTTCGCATTCTTTTAGGCTCTGTTCGTCATCCATTCCAGACGCCATTTTTTCTCACTTCACTAAGTATGCTAATGACGGTAGAAGTTCCTTGTCTATACTTATGTAATCTTCCTTGCGATTGGCTAAAAATACAGAGGTATCTAAAACTTTTACTTACGTTTACCTGTTCTGAATTCAAAAGAAGCAATTATTAGATACCATAATACAACTAATATAAACAAAAAGTTAATTGTGCATGTTTCATGCAAATTTCTTAATACATTAAGCTACAGTTATGATAAAACTCAATTTAGCTAATTATGTAAAAACTTGTACAAAAACCAATCACAGTCAACGTTTATAGAGCAATAGACTGTCAACACGAATGACGTCAAACACAGCGTGAAGCTAATCGTGCTATCGACACGGTCACAGTATGCCTTCCTATGTTTTCTAGCAACACGGTAACCGTGTGGTATCGATTGTTTTCGATCGCTCAAACGCTAGGGTGTTGGGTGGGGGAAGGGATTTCTAGTTGGAAGAATGAATCCAATTCCGGGAACAGAGATGGTACCAATGGGGGGAGGGCTTGAGGGCATCCCCGGTCCCCCCCATGGTAGGGGCTAAGGTAAGAAAATTTATGATATGGTACCTCTAGATGATGATGATTTTTCTTTTTTCTCTCATTTTTCTTTAATAATTTTCAACAATTTGTTGAGAAGTGGGGGAGGGGGTGGGGGCTTTTCCCTTGAATCCGCAACTGCCGGTTACTGTCTTTTCGTAACATTTAATTTTATTTTGCTGCTCATTGTAATATACATTGTCGACTTTCGTGTAAAAAGCAGTAAAACCCATGCAAATTATGAATTTGCAGGATTTGGGTTATTTCAGGGAGACAGTATTTGCTTTCGGGAGTGCGGGAAGCCGTCTCGGTTTCCGGGAGACTCCTGCGAGTTCTGGGAGACTTCGGACCCCTGGTGGGGTTTGTTTGTCTCCGTGATATATATTTTCTAATTTTTATCATATCATTCAATTTCGACAAAAAATCCAATTTGAACATATTTACAAGAAGATTGGTCAGGAAAGGCAAATCAATTAGGCTTTATCAAATGTAATCAGTCCATCGCACGCTGCGTGATGATGATGATGATGATAACTATGATGGAAGATGATGAAAATGATGACTGTTATAATTAAAGTTATTTAGCCATCATTTTAAATATGATTTTGGCCATCTCATAGACGCAAAGTATTCGATATAATTTATTTCGTTATTTGATATAAAATACAATATTTAAAGAACAAAACAACAAAGTAAGACAATGAAAAATGTTTTCAGGGGGTGGACTTAAAATTCGCAAATTTTTCATCATCTATTTTACTGGTAACTTTAAATGTGTTGGTCTTTGAGTCATATTTTTAATGTCCGAATTGTAACCCTGGGCCGTTTAATGTCAAATAAATAAATAAATAAAATGGGGAAAAAAAGAAAGAAAGTTAATCATTTTCTGATGCCATCTCCATCCAACAAAAATAAAATACAATTAATAGAACGTGTACACAAATGTATAAAATTATTACCATTAAAATATTTTTTAAACAATTATAAGCTATAATCACCCCTTGTCTAGATGCTGCACAGGTTTTGACGAGTACTGATGTGGAAGTATAAAATACAATAAAATGTTTAAAAAAATCATAAAAATACAAAACGTATCATAAAAATACCACAAAAAGTTAAAAATACACTTTAATGGAAAAAAGGAAAACCCAATTTGATATGTTGTAGAACTGGTTTTTCTAAGACACAAAAAGCATATTACTTATAACTTGGCAACGGTTAATGAGATACAGATTTTTAAATATTTAAATCCCCTTCCCCAGTTTTTCGAATATTCAAAAATCTGTATCTCATTAACCGTTCCCGAGTTTTTCATCAAATAATATGCTTTTTGTGTCTCAGAAAATTGGTACAACATATAAATTATTTTTTCCTCTGGAGCATGGCTTTAAAATATAGCAAAATAGATAAATATTCAATTTCATAAATGCAGTGGTACTTGATGGAAATACTTAGATTAAAAGTGATGAGTGCACTTACCAGGCCACCGTACCGATAGTCACTTCCGCCTACAGAGCCACACACCGAAGTGGTGTCCTCGTCATCGCGTTGTCGTTTTCGAAGGAAGCGAGAGTTATTGCACTTTTTGGATTGTAAAGTTTAACGTTATTTATTGTAGGGTTTAGGTTTATTTAATATCTTCCGAATGTTTCTTTATGTTTAAGGTTTAGAATGGAAAGTTTATCGTGGATGAATGGAACGAACCAAATTGCACAAGCAGGTCAATGGTAGGTTTAAAATTGACCAAATTTCACCACATAAAACATTTGACTAGGCCTAGCCTAGCCTAGGTAGGGCCCTAGTTAGCCTAGGCTGGGCTGGGGCCTGGAGGAGGATGGCTTTGGCGGCGCTAGGGCTGGGCAGTATTGTTCCCATCCTAATCCTATGAACTCTAGCCAGACGGCTTAGATCATCTCCTGTTTTTAAGGCTGACGAGAAGGGGAGCTAATCCAACAAGGAAGGGCAGTCCTCCCGTCTGGATGATGAGATGCTAGCCTAAGCCTAGGCCTATTTAGGGAGTGGCTATAAATTTATTTACCAAATTCTTAAATATAGGCCAAGGCCTAAATATTAAAAACTAATTCTTAATTAAATTTTACGCTGCACATTTTTACCCTGTTTTTCAGTTTTTTTTAAAAATGATCTTATTGCCGCGAATCTTCTTTTTGATGTTTCCCTTAGGCCTATATAATACTATAACGATTGCCCTTTTTTACATTTGGATCTTTTAGTTTTATAATTTTTTGCAATGATTCTTAATATCTTTTTAAAAATTGAATATTTTAACATATTTTATTTAGTTTGTGTTTTATTTAGTATTTTAAATTGTACTTGGCAATGATGTGTGTATTCAAATAAAAAATGTCCATTTTAATATACTTGTATTTTTGTATGCCTGTGGACAAGTGAATAAATGAATCGTGAATCTTTACAAAAATAGGGTCCTAGAGAAAAGACCTACATAATAACATAGATAGAGATCTTATTGTAATGTTGTATGTACCCCTATTTATTGGATTTAGGACAATAATCAGAATTAGGAATTTGGGCCACACACAGGCCTTAGGCCTAGTTTTTAGTTTAATTTCACAGGCCGTTACAAAGTTTCCATCAATCACAAGATGCCAACATCTTCCAATTGCAAAGACTGTATAATTAGTGATATTTTAATAATCTTTAATGAATTTTTAATTTTCCAAACAATTGCCAGATTAGGTCAACATTTGTAATTACTTTTTTTTTCTAGGGGCCAACAGTATGGTGGTAATGGTAATAACAGTACTGCAACAGGTGCTAGCAATGATGAATCACAGAGCATTAATCAAAGCTGGGAGATCGCTAGGAAAGCCCTGGAGAACATAACGGGGGCGTCCTCTAAAGCATCAAATGCTAAGGAGAGCCCCAAGAAGACCCCAGGACCTAAGCAAGCTATGCAGACTCAAGGTGCCTCCATGCAGTCAAACATGTACACAGGCCAGGGAATGCAGCCAGGACCGATGCCAAATATGGCAAACCCATATAATTCCGGTAAGTGTTGGGTGCATATTTTTTCTTTATCATACCTTAACTGTGGTTAAGCCCCACCTTTGTAATTAATGGCCCTGAAACCTCGATTCAGAAATACCGGCAGGGGATAGTATTTTCGCTATAGTGCAAGATTTGATGTAGATGATGCATTGTACACGCCTCATTGCGTTACGCTCTTTATGGAATTCAGTCGGCGTACAACCATGTGGAGTAGTTACAGTGTAGTATATACTCTCTTGTGCTTGTGTTTTGCTTAAATATTTTGTTATCTGCAGTGATGTTCTTGTATCATTTTATTCATTTTAGGGAATTTTTATAATCCCATGGGACAACCTCCTCCTGGAATGTATCCACATCATTACGGATACAACTACCCGATGCCTAATAATGGAATGAATCCGTACGGAGGCAACATGATGGGTGGTAACCAATATCATCAACAGCAGGTTTGTTGTCTCAGATGCTATAATTTTCATGATTTTCATTTGCATGTCATTTTCCCATCCCTAAGCAGGCACTAATTTGATATAGTACGTGCTAATGTTTTGCATCTCGCGTGCAAAAAGCTTAAAGTTGGGGTTTTACATTAATATATTGTTGGTAGGCCAAGCTCTGAATGCACATAGCGAACATAACATATCTAGAACGGCATATGGTTACGAGACATCAGGGTGATTGACTTATAAAAGAACTGAAAAGGGAAGGCAACTCTGAAATGAAGTTCATAATAGTGTTTACAATGACATATTGGATTTAACTATTGTCTACCAGTAGGTTAAGCCTACCGAATAATAAAATACCTAATAAACTTCATCAACCACAATCAGTTTACCTCATCTTCATCGTATCTCGTGGAGCTGCAAAGGGTGTCAGTGCACGTAATACTAGCAAATCATTCTCATACACTCAGCTAATGCACACACGCATGTAATGTATTGACCACTAAGCAACCAATCACAGCAACCAGCATTTTGATTTATATATATCTTAAATATGTATAAAACAGGGTAAATGACTTATAAAGCAATTATTGTCATGTTTTTACAGACCCTATAGAAAATAGAAGCCTTAAGAGCCATTACTTTCTTCAAAAATTGCCTTCAGCCCTGTGCGCTTCGGGCATGTTTTTCAGGAAACAATGTCTCTGTCAGCCTCTATTTTCTATGCGGTCCTTTGAACTTGATTATTACATAGTAGTTGTTAGCTCCGATGAGGAGCTCTAGAAATACTCGGCTGATTAATTAGTAGATTTTTTTTTTTTTTGGTATGGGTGGCCGTTAGGGCCAGTATACTCTACTGCATCTATTGTACCGCCCTCATCAGAGATTTCAAGATTATGAGAACTTGTTTTATATATTCTCGTCCTCCATTCACAGATAGTTTTCTCATGTCTTTGCCTTGTAAATATCTTTTACACTGAATAAAAAGATACATTGTTTCAGCATTCTCAAGAAATGTAGGAACAAATTTGACTGTCTTATCCATGAAATGTTATTTATCAGACAATTAAAACCAAGTCTGAATAAGCAAACTGTGACTTTGTCAAAACTAAGCTCTTTATCTAACTAAGGGGATTAATATCCTGCTGTTACAAACTTTGACATTCTAGTTTACAGCCATTGTTTTATAGATTATAAGCAGTTGTATCATGATCTTGTACACCTCATTATTTGAACTTGAAAATAACACCATGATGGAGTCGATATGTCGTTCTTTCTTTAGCATTGTTTTTCTTTTAAGTATGGTACAAAACGTACTCTTATTCAAAAAGTACATAACTTCTTTATTTTCAGATGTACAACCAAGGATCGTTTGTTCCACAATACACATCGTTTGAACAACCTGCAGGGAACTTTCAACAGCAGCACCAACAGCACAATAATAAACCAGGCTCTGATGAATACAGTGCGAATATGCACAACCAGAAGGAGCAGGCGGCTAATGGTCCTAAGCAGGGCAACCGGATCAACCATAGCGGCACACCAGTGAAGTACAACAACCAAGCTGACACCAGACGAATGGGTTTCAACCAACAGGCCAGGAATAAGGGGGGCAATCATGCTGCTTCGCAAGAGAAGCAATCGCCTGCGTGGGTGAACAAGAAACGTACGTTGTTTTTAGTGTATCTATAAGGCAAAACTTTTTTTACACCTTGTTTCGCGAACCCGCCGCCCTCCAATATTGATAATTTGGAATAAAAATAAAATTTTATTTTTGGCCAATTAGAGCACATGCCGCCACGAAATCCTGGAAATTTCAGAGAAAAAAAATAAATTTATTTCTTTATTTTGATTATGCCCGCCGGGATGTTTTTGGCAAAACTATGTGCTAAACAAGAAAACAAAATTTTATTTTTATTTTTTTTTTTCTCACCTAATGCTGCATCCACACTATCAAATTTTATGTGACAAATTTGTTTGATGTGCCCATATATGGGCATGATGAAGTCATATTATACCCAAATATGGGCATAAAATTTAATAGTCTATATTATGTCCCTTGTTTTTTTCAGAAGCACCAGGTTCAGGTAATATTAGATTTAGCTTTCCTTCTCAGAGGATACGCCCAAATTTTGTAGGTTTTTCCAGCGATACCAATGAAGCTGGAGAGAAAGATGAAAACGCATCGAATATTAATAAGTATAACCAACTGCAGAAGCCAACACATAAGCTGACACCAAACGCGAACAAATTTCAGGCGATGAATAGGACGCCTTTAAACAAGCAGTTACCTATCACCAACCAACCTGTAAAGAAACCCAACAAGCCATCTGCTGCCATGTAAGTCTTGCGAGATAAGAAATTGCTTTGAAATCTTACACACGTGGCAGGTTCTATGCTTTCAGTAGCTGAACCTAAACAAGACCGTAAACAAGTTAAACAGACTAAAGATATTTAAACTGATTTTTTTCAAAACATTTTTCATGTCAAAAGCATGATTAAGAATTTCCCAGGAAGTACTACTATTAATGGACATAAACTAGGAAATGATAGCATATATTTAATAATTTTCTATACAGACCTATTTTTTGATCGATATTTATTTTCATGATTTTCTTTCACAGATCACCAGGTGAATGGCCAGACAGTTTAAAGTAAGTATTGGATCATTAGCAGATTATAACAAAATATTAGTATATACAGTAAAAAAATTTAAAAATTTCAATTATGATTATTATCATTTAGTACTGTATGTACAATTAATCAAAAATTTTATCCGAGGTACAAGTAATTAGGCAAAAAAAAAAACTGTTTAAATTCAAACCGGACAAATTAGGACATTTTATTTATTTAAGTTTATTAATATATCTTTAAAAGTATTGTAAAAATTATGCTTAAAGCTATAAGTATTTCTTATTGTAATAATAGGAATTACGTGCAACGGGCATTTGCATCATGCGAGTCAGAAAGTGATAAGGACATTGTAGAATCAACACTAAAGAAGATCTTGACATCAGCGTTTACAGACAGCACAGCATGGAGCAAAAATTGGGACAAAGAGCCGTTACCTTTGTAAGTAAATTGTAAATTGTTTAAAACATTTATTATCATCTTAATTATTATTATTATTATTATTGTATTATTATTATTATTGTTATTAATATAATACACATTTTAACAATTTATTATTATAGAATGACTGCAAGATGCTTCTATCATTTCAAAATTTTACCGTTTGAATTTTACATAAAACATCAATACTAATAAATGTTACCCTGATAATCATTAACTATTAATTGATTTGTTCTGTCTTTACATTTATAGAGAGAAAGCCAAGATAAACCAACTTAGGTCATCACGTTGGGACACAGATACCACATCTCCACAGCAACGGCCACAACAAACGACGACACCACATAAGCAAGGGAACCAAAACAGAAACATTTCCCAAAAGAGCCCAGGCTTTTCGCGTACGGAGCGTAGACCGTACAGCTATGGGTTCAGACGGTCCAGCAGGTCAAGGTCGCGATCTAGGTCATGGGGTAGTAGGTCTAGGTCACGCTCGAGATCTCGCAGCCGTTCACCATATGGAAGGAAAAGTCGTCGAAGACGAAGCGGAAGGTATGTAATATTATTCGTGGATTCATGGCTTAGGATACAGTTATTAAGTCGCAAAGTTACTTGATACCATGTAACCCTGATAAAGATAAATTAATTTTGATTCAATTTAATTTCTTGTAAACAACTTCTGACATTGTGAGCATCATTTTTTTGCATGTTCAATTGAAAATTCCTCTTTTTAATGAGCATTGATATTTTTTTTTGTTTCCAGCACAAATTCAGATTCTGATTCAGGATTCATTCCCGTAAGTAGTTCATGGGGGAAGGGGCGAGGCAGGGGGCGTGGGAAGGGTAAAGGACAGGGCGGCAAGAATCAAGGACAGCGTACTCCAGGCAAGAAAGGACAGAAGAATAGGAAAGGACAGGCCCAGTAAGTAAATTATTCCTGTTGATTCAACTTTTTGATCATCCCGTCTATCTCCTGATAGTTTATCATTGCTATATATCTTTCTTTGTTGTGTGATTCAAAGAAATTAGATTAAAAAAATAATATTGCATTCATAAACATAATTTACATTCATTGATTACTGTGCCTCAAATTGCCTGTAAACGGTGCAGTGATGTTTCTTTTCTTGTCGCTTTAATTTTCATGGTAATTTTTAGTTCCTTCCTCCTGGAGTGCCTTAAGCACTACTTGCAGTGAATCTTATTATTATTATTGTTTATATTGTCATAAATATTTTTTTGTAATTTTCTGGTTGCAGAATTAGCACAGATTTACGGATATATGAAAGCTTCAGACATATGATATATTTTATTTGTAGTTTTCAGTTTATAGTTTTTGTTTTCACTATAGATTTAAATTTCCAAAATATAAGAATAGCAATTGATTGATTGATAATATGATTGATTATACACCTATTGATAATTTCAATAGCACAACATAACACAAATTATGTGAGGATAATGATGCATTATCTTTTAGACCATATCTGCATGACCCTTTTAATGGCATTGTTTGTATTGCATATGAAATTCACACTACCCATTCCAATAATTTAAATATCTGATGTAGATCATCCGTTGGGATGCTGGAGTATGGTGATGAGGCAGAAAAATCTCATAGGTTGCAGAAAAGAGCGGCTCGCTTCTGTGATATGATTGGAGGGGGGCAACGAAAACAGAGGAAGCAAGCTCTAAAACTTGATATCAACACATACCTTGTAAGTAGAGACTGACATTTCGAAACATATTTAAATATTTATATATTTTAAATTTACGGCGAGTTCAGACTATCTTTATTCCAAAAAATTATTAGAGGTTTATTCAAGTGGGTGGAGTAGTTCTAAAGCAAAAATTTCTCTTAATATATCATTTATTCCTCACATATTTGATTTACCATTGTTGATCATTGTTATTTTGTTGTTTGTTTGCAGAAGTTCGATGAGGGAATCGAATTGAACGATCAACCTATATTAGGAACATGTCAGAGTTTGACTAAACAGTATTTACGTCTGACATCGGTAAGTGTAGTTATAGTCCATTCCTTCCCCCCACTCCCCATCACCTAGGTCTGTGTCAGTAAAGATAAGGCCTGCAAAATGATCTATATCTATATAACAAGCCTACTATTATTTCCTCTGCACCTTCTAGGCACCACATCCGTCAACAGTTAGGCCGGTTCCAGTTCTTCGCAGGTCACTGCAGATGGTGAAGCAGAGGTGGAAGAAGGATGCGGACTACAACTTTGTCTGTGAACAGCTCAAGTCTATCAGGCAGGATCTTACAGTGAGTAGGCATTTTATAATGCTTTACGCTGCAGGGTGGTTAAGATGTCTGACATCTGATCATTATATCTTGAGTTTGTGGAGTGGATCTGGGACAGTGACATCATAACCAGGGGCCTCTATACAATTCTACTTTTGCTGAAGGGGTTGATGCCATATACTGGCAGAACCAGGGTGTTCCTTTGATCTTTTGTTATTGAGATTCTTTGATTTGTTTCTCTAGATTCAGTGTGTTAGGGAGAAATTTTCTGTTGAAGTCTACGAGACGCATGCAAGGATAGCTTTAGAAAAGGTAAGAAATTATATGGTGGTGGTGATGGTGATGATATTAGTTATGGTGAGTGGATGATGGTGATAATAATACAAATGATGTTGGAGATAATATTGATGATGGTGAAGGGGTGATGATGATACTAGTGATAGTGGGTGATGATGATTTTGAGGGTGGTGGTAATGATGTGGTATGATGATAATGGTGGAGGAGAAAATTTTGATACTAATGATGATGTGGTGCTAGTAATATTATTTATGGTGATTATGACATTGATGATTATCATTATAGCAATTTTAATACTGATCATAGATTATTGTATTATAGATAAAGATAACGTTAGACATGATTAAAATTGTTATGGATAATGTTGTTCATGACAGTGTTGGTGATGCTGTTTACAAATGCACTTTTAAAACTCTGTTTTGTACACTTTGCAGGGTGACCGTGAAGAGTTCAACCAGTGCCAGACGCAGTTGAAAGCCTTGTATCTAGACCATCCAGGACACAATGAGGATGAGTTCACAGCATATAGGATTCTCTATCAAATTCTCACCAAGAATACACTCGGTATCCTTTCAGTTGTATAGAGTACTACAGCGTTTTACATCACAATACCACATGATACTACTCCGTTGCCATTGTAGCAAAATACATTCAACTGGACGCCATTTTTCCCACTGACAAACCATTGATCCCAATTTCTAACCTAAGAAAAATGTTGTATCTTAGTTTTTCTTTGTAAATTTTAATTGATGATTAAATGTGTGTTCGATAACTAATATAATGCAAGCTATTTTGTGTTTTAGTACATTTTGATGGTAAAATATTAGATTTTAAAGTGCCTATTCCAGGAAGCCTATGAAGTCATTCAGGCATAATGAATGGTAACCAATGTCTGGTTGGCAACAGAGGGCGCTACCTGGTGTTGTGACGACACGATGTTACATAAGTTGGGCCAGTTTGTGGGATTAGTTTTTTTTTTCTACTATAGTATTAGGCTTTATTATAGTGTTGATGGCCATCACTTTATCTCATGCATTCTGGCTGGTAGAATGTAATCAATGGTCTAAAATACATAGTTAAAGTAAGATGTTAAATGTTAAAATGTGGCATTTTCAGTATTTTGGGGTCCTTCGTAGGGGGGAAAATGCCAAAACTACCCAAATCTAGATTTGGGGACAAACTTACATTTGGCCTTATTCTTAGTATAGTAACATCCCAATTGCATTGGTACCAAGAAATTTCTTTCGAAATGGTTCTTTCATTCCTTGACTTATTTTTTTAACAGAAATGGCAAACATGTTAGGGTCCTTGACAGACGAGGCTAAAAAAGACGAAAGCATCAGGCATGCACTGGAAGTGCACAGTGCCTGGTCTTATTGTAACTTTCACAAACTCTTTCTCCTATACAGACAAGCCCCTAGAATGTCCCCATACATGATGGATCTATTTATTGATAGGGAACGCAAGTTGGCGTTGCAGGCTTTAATAAAATCGTATGTATTATTTTTCTCAGTACTACCTTCCCTTAAAAGTAAAATGCAGTTTAATTAGAATAATATAAATTTCAACAGTTGTAAACAAAATTTTAAATTAATTCTATATTTAGAACAATGATTTTTTTCAGTGAATTGAATTTTCATTTCTCTAATTCACTTGCTTTTTATATTTATTTTTAACTTCACAATATTCTTTAATGATAAACGTAATTGCAGTTGTGATCTGTTATTCTGAATTCTTACATTTTTTTAATGTCATCAATCCTTATGCACTATTACTGATGAACAGAACCATATAGTGATGTCATCTGTATAGTGCACAAAAGTACACATGTATACTAAGTTGTTATGCTTTTGGCAATACACAAATACTGATGACACATCATGGCATTTCTATGATGTCATCAGTATTTGTGTATCTTACTGTTACTGATAACATATACAAAACGCATATTTCTCAATTAACACATTTATATTTCAGTTTAATTCCAAGTGAGTATATTTAATATGACAGTAATCGTGTTGGACTGTAATATATTGTATAAAAAATTAAAATTAATAAAATTGATTTATTAAAATAAATATAAAGAATGAGGATATGAAAGATGGAGAAACATAAAAGTATATGTGATGAAATTAAGACCTGGAAAAATAAAAAAGGATGTAATATATTATAAAACCAAAATATAATTATATAACTGAGACAAAGGTAAGCATATAATTTTTTTTTCACATATTTATTATTTATGTATCTAGTGGATAAAATCCACCGTGACATATATAAATGATAAATAGTTTATTGGAGAAACAAATAACCCACCATTACCACTGATGGCGACAGTGTGGGGCTTTTTTTTACTGAAAAGGAAATTTCACTCTGAGGGTAAATATAAAAAAATAATTCAGTTAATATTTTAGTCGAACATCAATTTTATACATACAATCTATGGAGTACAGAAAAGGTATGTCTTTTGCTTTTTTTGTTTTCTTTTCAGCATTTTATGGTAAGTTTTGGTAGGTATTTTTACAATGTGATTATATAGGTCTCCAGGTGTGTTTAATTATTGTATTTCAGTTGTTACAAAATTCCTATTAAATCTTATCATTTCCTTCATTAACATACTATTTCTCTTTTCCCCCCTTCTTGTTGAATGACAAAATGGTAGTTTCCGACCACATCTACCGGTGTCGTTTGTTGAGAAAGAGTTGGCGTTTGAAGATACAGCAGCGTGTGTTGCATTTCTCACCGAGTTGGGGGTGACGATGTCCCTAGACCAGGCCAACATAGACTGCAAGCAGAGTATGAGTGTGTTACAGTCCTAATCCCAACCAAATCAAAGAAATGTATTCCAAATTTTGACAAAGCTGCAGTGCTTTTTCTGGGAGAAATTAGCTTTGTTTTTTTTGCTCACAATTGCCATGGGAAGCATTCAAATGTAGTTGAATGGTAGTTTGAAGAATTCCAACGTCAGTCCGCGATTGTCATTTACAGATCCCTTTTTATTAAACCACCAGCATGCAAAGCTAGGCTACGATTTTTATGCGATTCCCAACTTTTTATCAAGTGAAACCAGGGTACATTTGTTCAAAATTATATACCTTGTTTTAGAAGTACATGTTCACTAAAAGTGTAAAGAAGTAAGTTAGTACTTTTAAAATCAGATATTGCTTGTCTAAGCATACAAAAATGATTTGCAATTTCAGTGAATGAAGATCAATTATATTTTGCCAGTAATTGACCTAATTAAAATTCAGTTATTTTAATGGAAATAATGTCAGCGGGAGAAGATATCTACTCGTTTGAACTTTACTTTCTCCGTCTGATTTGTAAGAAGAGTTAGCTGCAGCGTTTTTTGTGTGTAACATCCAGCGGTGAGGTTTTCAATTATGGACATAAAAAAACTGAATTTGGTACCAGTTACAATCTTCTAATGGAAGTAGTGTCCTGTTAATGAAAGTTACCACAACCATAAGTCTCCGTCACAGAGTTGCGCTACCGTAAGCTAATGCTAAAGAGTCGCTACATACTTCCGATCATCCATACTACAGTTAGCCATTTATACAAATTTACCAACATCTACGATACCAAGATCATCCCGGACCTGTTCTGACATATTAGGCCATAGATCCTGAAAATCCCTTACAGATCTTCAATGTCAAACCATCAAAGATCTCTACTGATGTCTTCAGCCATGAATGCTGTTTCTTCTACAGATCATCAGTGTCGAACATCATTGACATGTACTGCTGTAGCCATCAACAATCTGTAGTACAGTAAGCTATTAATGCAGATTGACATCACCAAACTTTCAAAGAGCAGTAGTATATGCCATTGATGTTGCTTCACCACATCTACGATGCCTGACTATGGAAGAGCGACATCCAAGACCTACAGTTGTCAAACCAATCAATATCCGTATAAGCAATTACTGAAGAGTTGACACCACCAAACCATCAACTAGCTGTACTACCAAGATTAGTCTCCAATGCCAAACCTTTTAACTACATCGCCATTACATCAGAGAGTTGTTACTTCGCAAGCCAATGGTAGAGATTCACTGGACCTACAGGGTTGCTACGAAGTTGAAGCCATCAGAGATCAGGATTTACCAGTGCAATTATTAAAATAAGTCTTTACCACATCTATCAAAAATGGAATCACCAACATATCAACCAACCGGTGAGGTAAATAATCAAAAACGGAAATTTTAGTTGAGTATTTATTAAAATTTAAACGTCTTCACTCCTCACTATCTGCTCTATTATCACACGGAAGGTTGACAAGTTCCGTAACCATTACTGTCTGCGAAATATTTCTTCTAATGTCACTCATATTTCTCTTTTATTACTCAAGGTGCAATGTGAGAGGTGGAATTTTTGCATTATACATGTAAAATATTTGCATATACTGTATGGGGCTTGCCATTCCAAAATCATACGTTCTGTTGCTAATTGTTAAATAATGTAGCAGTATTTGAGTACTTTATTACAGAGAAGCTATGATACTTTTACTCATAAATTTGGCCGTAGTAATTCAATTCCAGGAAATAACCAATCATTTTAAAGCAATGTGGAGAATATGAATACAGTTCGCTCTCCAATTCGATTCCACCTGTGGGACCTGAAAATTTAGGGTGGTCTCGGGGTTCATTCTCCTAATAGAGTTCTAGCTTTTTTGTTAAAACATTGAAGATTGTTATTTAGTTCTTTGAAAACGTGGTCTCGAATTGAAGGGGTCTCAAATTGAAGGGGGAATGTACATTAAAAAGTCAATTTTTGTATTTTGGTCACTAATACTGGCTTTGGAATAGCAAACCTCATATGCTGATTAGTAATAGTGTTGTGTGAAGCTGGTTTACAGTATTAGAATAATTTTGTATTGTTCAGTTTGTACCTTAGTCAATATATTATATTACTTTATTTGCTTTTTTTATCAAATGAATTCCATTAAAATTTTATGTACAGTATTTTTATAGTAAAATTAATTAACTGCTTTGTGAATTATTATGATTTCTATCAAACTTTTTAATGAAATTTTGTAAGTACTTGGATCACTTCAATAAAGTGGCTCTCTTATGAGTTTTACATCTTAAGTATATACTGCTCATAAACCAGAGGGTGAGTGGAGTTTGGGGGGGGGGGTGTGGGGAGAGACATAAATAAATTCTAAAATAATGAATTGCTCAAATAATAACTTTTGATTTACTGATATATTACTACAAGAATCTCTAAATTGAGTACATTTAAAGGAGATTCGCAATATTTATTTGATGACTAAGTTTTCTCATTCATATTTTCAATTTTGATGAATAATTTTGAATTTAATGAATATAAAAATGAACATTTCAAATTTTTAATTAATTAAAATTGTTCATGTTTTTTAGCTCAACATTTATGACAGTATGTATTTAAGCGAATAAGCAAGCACATATTAATTTAAATATTGCTATATATTCCATCAGAACGCTTACATTACTGAGGATTAATTTTAGCGCCAAACTTGTGGGAGCCACTTTGATGCATGCATATTTTATTTCATGGGGAATGCTTAACAGTTTTATTGTTATATATTATGATTTTTTTTTTTTAATTCATTGATTAGAATACTAGAAGCAAGAATGAAAGCCCGAAAATTTGCTAATTATATCTAGGGGGGGTTTAAATGTTTTGTTTTCATTCTAAGGTTGTAATGCAAGTTCGATTATACAGTACATTAACATTAGGTGTGCATTTCATTTTTTCCCCTTGGAAAATAATGCAGATGTTTCTTCTCCCATCCGCCCCCACCCCACAGAATCCCTTGTACATGTATAAATACATCCTTCTGTCCCCTTGTTTATGTATTTAATCGGGTAAGTACAGTATTCAACTATGTAATGGTAGTAAGGCAACACAATATGAAAATTTAAAAGCTTTAGTGTATATTGGCCCTTTACTTGAATGCACTAAATATTTTTGTCTATTTTAATTCGTGTTTTTTTTTTTTTTAAGTCTTCGTTATCTTTATATTTTATGAAATTGTAAATTTTAAGTTTGTTAAAAGTGACTTTCTCATAACGTTCGTCATAGTCGCGTATTACATTTGAGGGTACGTATGTGCGCGTAAATATGCCAATATCGTCGCAAAGACGTGAAAGCTTTTATTCAGCAAGTTTTAAGGAGGAATCTAGGTCTAATTTAATGACGTTATCTTATGAGAAAGTCACTGCAAACATAGATTTTCTAGCGTCGTACTGCTAAATTAGTTTGGTACTTCATCTATCACCGATTAATACGTTGCCGCTGGTAATACTGAGGGGGTGTTTTTTCACCCTACTAATATTGAGTAAACTTCTATTTAGGATAGGCTTACTTTAATTAATTCCATAATATGAATATGTAAATAACAAGTTACTGTGCTGATTAAAGTATGGCGTCATGTATATTTCTGTAACATAGCTGATACTTTCAATATGACAACAACCAGATGAATTTCTTCAATTTCATACGATTTACAGTATTTAATTCAATCACAGATTAATTCTAGATCTGTAAATAAAATTATGTAAATACATATTGCACAAAAAATGAAAAGAAATAAAATACTCGAAAAGTGAATTTGCGTTGGTTCGTGAGTAAAATAAGTCTTCAGTGTTTGTAGGTTTATTCAAATGTTTCCAAATACTGTTCAGTACGTTTTTGCAGATTTTGTTTATTGGCAAGAGTATACTCATGACATAATTTTTTAAGAGAATACATTTCCATACGTCCTCGACAGAACAACAATATTTTAATTGGTTACTTTTTCTATTGATCATCATAATAATGAGACTTATCCGACGTCCACAATACCATTGTGAATAATATCGAATAGACGGTCATCTTGAGAACGAAATGCATTCAGGAACCAGCCGGTTATGGTGGTATATAACAGAGAATGATCTTTTAGAAAGCCGTAACACACAGGTGCTGATTGTGACCATCGGCATAAGATGGCAGTGTAAAAATATCTGCTCATACTTATATGGGGAGCAACACTGCCTCGATGGGAAAATTGGTATACGGATTCTACTTTAAATTCTGGGGATTAATGTGGATTTTTCTATTTTATGGTGAAATTTGACACTGTGCCTTGAGCATCCTTGGTGGAGATGTGTGCATTATGAATCTTTATTATTATTATTATTATTATTATTATTATTATTATTAAAAATGAAACCATAGAATGCACTTATATTCCTAATTAAAACAAAATACGCAGACGTTACACCAGCCGATGGTACACAGCGTCATTCAATTCATTAACAAACATTTTGGCACTGACATTGTATGTAATATATTCTGGAAATGACAAGCGTGTTTGGTAACTTCTATAACAGCATAGTCATAATAAACTACGGCGCCGAGATGCAGATAAAATGCACCTCTGTCTGAGGTGTTTTCCTTCTGGTTTGCAATCAGCCCAGCCTCGAAAATACCGTAAATTGGCAATTTAACAAGTCCATTTAGAATGAGTTGACCAATTGTAGCAACCTCTTTGACACCTGACAGAGCATTCCTTCAGATTCCTAACCTATTCTTTCCAAAATTATTTGTCAGACGTCATGCAATATGACAACTGTCTGGCAGTACATTCCTCCCTGGTTCACTAGTTCGCTGTAAATTCTGCTCCTTAACAAAAAATATAAGTTGATCGTAGTTTATTTTTTTAATGCAATACTCTTATTTCTTGTGGTTCTCAATTACGAAGACTCCCAATTCTGATTACAGTACCAATGACATTGCTCCCCGTCCACTTATTGACACCAACCATGGTGGGGCTGAGGTGGGCGTGGCGGCGAGAACTTCATATTGTACCCACCCGTCAGAAATTCTCTGGATCCGCCCCTGTATATTTCACCATCCAACGATGGATATGTTGTGGCTAGGTGTCACTTCTCGTAATGCCCATGTGTGGTCGTTGAATTAAGAATAAATCAACTGATTCATCTTGGTTTGGCGTTTCTGCAGTAGACGTTATCTGGCCATTATCTGCAACCTAGTTATCACCATCCAGCGATGGATCTGTTGTTGGAGCTAGTCGCCACTTCTCGTATAGCTCCTGTGTGGTCGTTGGGGAATAAATCAACTGATTCATCTTGGTATGGCGTTTCTGCTTCACTTTGAAGGCTTTCACCCAGGGAACGTCTCTCTTTCGAAGCTGACGAGTAACAACTGTTGACACTTGCGCCTCTTCCTGAGCCCCTCCTAAGAATAAACAAAATACAAAATGATTATGTCAGAAGGAGATTTCGTGAGGTTTTTGAACTGTTTTACTTGAGAAAATATTAAGAAAAAAAGTTCAATCGATTGCTTGTTTTATGTTCACGCACGTTCGCAAAAACGATCAGCTAATTTTTAGAGTTTGCCTTTTAAATGGTTAATTAATTGTCTTGATTAAATTTTTGAGTGTTTTCTGAATATTACCGCTGACAGTTTGTATTTATAAACCAATCACTCACTTTGTTCATTATGCTGCCTGGATGCCGTGGTACTTTGAGATGAGTCCGCTGCCGGTATTGTTCTATTTTGAGCTGTACACCTGCATCGGCTACCAGTATGTGACTCACGACAGTAGGGACATACCCTATCATGATCTGCCGGCGAGGGAGTTAACTCCATTTTTGCGGCGGGTGACATCGACGAAGTATTGTTGCTTTCCTAGTGAAGAAAAAAAAAAAGATTATAAAACCAGTTGACACGAAAATATACAGAATTCTCTCAAATCAATACAGTACTTGATTGTTACGAATGAAAACACTACGATAAGGTAACAGGAACTCTTCTGAGCTTATGTCACGATATTTGAGTTACATATCTCGTAAACAAATAAATTTCTCTTAATATAATGTATCTCTTTGTAGGCCTAAATCCGGATATTTTCATAATTCGTTCTGTCAGACTACTCTTTGCGTTACTTACTCTATGCGTTTACAATCTCAGAATGCCTGCTGCTAAAATCATAATATTACTCACCCTATTTAACTGTATAAAACCTGTATTAACTCCCTGTCAACTAAAATTAACGATTAGATTCTCCTTCTTAACCCATTTATCATTCTTCAATTTGCAGAATCAGTAAACCCGATACTTCTTTGAGCACCCACGCCATGATGCGTGTTTTAAGTGTAAAACATGTTCGAACTAGTGAACGTTATTTCTCGTTCTGTGCCCCAAAGCTCTAAATTTTCTCAGAAACTTATAAATGTGTGAAGTCTTGAGCAAATTTCCATTCATCTTTATTAACGTTTCTTTTTTGTAAGTAACTCTCCACCCGTTAGATTTATTGTTTTTCTATTGAATAATTTTTATCTTAAATCTTTAGCTATTTTCTCTGGCCTCGATGGCAAGTTATGTCTAAACTTTAATATGCCCTTTATAAAGGTTATATCATTATTATTGTTACACATAATTATAAGGCTACACAGTGCTTTTATAGCAGGGTTTGACGTTCAAACCCAAGAATGCAGTAATAGGGAGATTTTGCAACCCTAAAAAAAGAACGAATACGAATAGGCCTACGACAACGAATACGAATACGTCATTATCATTATCGTCATCTGTGCCTAAACAATTCTAGACAATATGTTGTACGATCTAAGTATGATGCTTGATTCATGCAAAAGGCGTAATCGACTACCGTACTATGTGACAGGTAAATTTGATGACGTATCCGTATTCATTACTTGCTTGCGAAATCCCCCTACTATGTTAAATGTGGATACATGGTGTTTTCATTTACTTCATTAAAACTTTGCATCAACTGGAATAAAAACTTAAAATGCTTTTTTCTATGTTCATTAGTATAATCGGAAATATTTAGGCTTACACATTCCCATTTAATATGTTAATCTATTTTATTTGAAAAATATTTAGGCAGGATAACATTCAGACGAGATCGCTGTTTTACAATATGGTCCTGCAGTAGTACGGTACTGTACAATAAACAACAAAAAAGACGAAACTAATCGAATGTGTCTACATCCCGATAAATGCAATCTACCAATTATTAAAGTTTGAACTTCGATCATAGGTCCATCTAATGTTTCGATGGAACGGTGGTCGTCATAGCACTGAGGTAAATAATAAGTTTACTTTTAATACTTCTACAAAGCATGAATGATTAGAGTCAACAAAAAGTTTGACACTATGTTGTGACTATTGTCACACGATTATGATTTTTTTTTTTTTTATCAAATTGGTTAGTCCTGTTGAGACTATCAAACTGCATGTCACGTTTTTGTAAATGATATTTGTTAGACTGGAGAGGGCCTAATGCTACATCAAAGGCTAACCGGTTAACTGCCAAGCAACAAATACGTGTATGTAAATTAGGCATCTATGCGATTGGGGCACGTATGTTCCGGTCCTATCGTACCGGAATGTAGTGAGACTGATCACAAGTGACAGAAAATAAGGGTTGACGTATTTCGGGAACATAAATATATTTATTTATACACAAATATTTCAGTCGTTCCTGCAACAAACTTCACACTGAAGACGGCTGCATGAACGACCAAAGTATTCCTGTATAAATAGCCTAAATATATTTAGGTCCCCGAAGCACGTCAACCCTTGTTTCCTGTCACTTGTGATCAATAGAGATCAGTCTACGCTATATATATATATACCAGCCATATAATGCAAAACAATTTAAAATTAAAACGGAACAGTAGAGAAAATCAGATCAGAATGATATATACATATATATATGTGTGCATTGAAGAAGATTTTACAATAATAAACTCGCACAAGCGTGGAAAATTTAATAGGGTATATATGTGCTGTATTGAAAAAACAATCGGTAAAAAGGGATATCAAATGGCATTTAATTTAACAATTAGGCCTAGTAATGTTTCATTAAATCTATTCCGGAATGAAATTGCCCGATTTGTTGCTCGTTCGTACAAAATATCGACTGATGTTATTATTGAATATCAACCATGGTATCATATAAATTCGATAAACGAACTAAAAATAGACATACTGATACGTTCGGAAACTAATTGGCGTGGACACACCGACGGCGCGTCGTATCTTTGACAAAAGATACATTACGCCCTACATAAAATCATAGATTACAGAGTCAACATTAGTCTACAAGCTGTCATTGTGTTTTGTTTACATAATGTTATACCTGTCTGACTTTTGATTCAAGTATTGATAATGCTTCCTGTTACACATTTATATTGTCAATATTTATATAGAAACACGCAATAAGCATCTTAATTCGTTATTCAGTCGATTATTTCGGGTTTAGAAAACTGGAACTCGCATTTAATACTGTAGTATTGTATTTTGTAAACGTATATAGATTGAGCCTATATTCCGCCATAGGCACCAAAATATGTAAATCGATATCAAAACATGGAGAAATTAGATAAACTAATTCCTCCATGGTCAAAACATATAAAATGCTAACACAGAAAATGAGACTGGAAATAGAAATTTTGTTTCACTAAACTTTAAAAAATAACAAAACAAAAAGTTTATCAAACATAAAATACAAAATTAATCGTTGTAGATGAGGGTTGGTAGCTGAAAGAAAGTAGTAAAGGAATAAGTATTGAAAGACTGGAAACAGGCAACTAAGAGATAAAATTAATAACTTGGCTAAAGTTTACTATGTTTTGATACCGGTATGGGATGGACAATGAATACATATATCTCTATGCTTTTAACATATAAGACAGTACTTTGTACTGTTCTTTATATACTTAAACCTCACTAAAAGTCCTAACTGATTGGGCGAGACCTTCGTTGTTTAGAAATCAATTAATTTAAGTATTTTTAAATAGATTTAATATGTTATATTATACAGATCTACACCAAAGTCCTTTTCACTGACATTCGGCACCCCTTTAGTTAATTCTTTATTTTTAATTTCCTTCATATCTAATAGCAAGATACACTACACTCGACACTTACAAGATGGAACGATGCTTTATAAGTCTCTTATTGAGGCTTAGCGAGTGGAATTTTAGTCGTGAGAAAAAGTCCTGCTGTGATAGGAAGTGATCCCAGGAACCTGCGATTAGAAGGCGAGCATCTTTTCCACTAATCTATTCAACTCCACTTTTTATAGGCCCTACTTACCATAAAAGCTGGTGAAGACTTGCATCTTAATTTGACTGGCGGAAAGAAACCTCTAACTCCGCGTAGATGGAGGTACTCATTCTGCTCCAGAACCACATTCCCGCTAAGATCCACCACATTTGTTCTTGCCGTCTGGCGCCGTGACGATCTACTCTTTTGTGCACTTAAAGATAAGTTTGTAGAAGCAGGCACTGTATTGCTGCGACGATGTAATGGTGACGACGAACGAGGCGTACGATTTGTAATAAAGATATTGTCGCAATCAGGAGTTAGAGGTGGCACGGACCTGTTGATGGCAATCTGTGACACTTGTCTGAGAACTCTGGGGCCTGGACTTAAGACCCCAGGTATTGTGACGGTAATTTTCCTGCTCATTGGCATGCCGTCCCTGGATTCTCCGTATGACGTTGGCAGATTTCTTGACAGTGGTGGTAGAAATCGACTTGGTTCCATCACTTTCGCGCTGCTGCGAGTTAGTGGTGTACCCTCTTTGTGACGTGTGCCAGTGTATTTATCCTGGTTGTCTGGATATTATAAAATCAACATTAAATTCCTTTTCTAAATCGTCCCCTTACAATTCGTCAATTATGAACGGTTCTGGCCATATAGTGCCTACGTTTTTATCGGCAGGTCTACTACTGTATTAACGATTGTGTAGCATTGTGTGACATGGTTGCAATGAAGCGTCAACGTTGCTAGGGTGAATGGTGGGCCAGGTTCAAAAGATCATGTCCCGGAGGATTACAAAATTCAATAGAGCATTTCAGAGTAATAAATCATGCACAGCGCTCGATTACAAAGTAGGCATACTCAAGGTCCGTTAAAAATACACCACAAACTGTCAACAAAGTTGTTATTAATAATTAATAACGATGAAAAGAAACATTCGCTAAACCAATAGGCCTAATCAAATGAACTTGAAACAATAATGGTGTCACCCTGGACTCGATGAATGTTTAGTGTCTTTATTTAGACCTATATAGATTAATTAGGCGAAGCACGTTCGATGTGTTTGTTTAGGACTCTATTGCTAGTTTTTCTTGTTCTCCCCATATCAAAGTTTTATTTACATGAACGTTTAACGAGTACCGTACCGCGTACGCAGTGTACACTTTTTTTTAAAAATAAGAACCAGTAAAATTTTTCCCAGACTCGGTGTTCTTCGGTGTTCTGTTTTAGCCGATTTTAGCCACAAAATGTTCTTATTTTGTTCTTATTTTTACACACTTTTAGGTAAAAATGGCACCAAATGACAGGTAGGTACACCTACTGTATTGTGGGATAGTGGGTAGCCACACCTACTGCAAAAGGTGCTGTACAGATTATACTGTATATTTTTTCTATTGAAAAAAAATAAAAACCTCATTTGACAATATATTTACCTCAGCCCCAATTGTTCTTATTTTGTTCTTCATTTTAAAGCAATTTCAGCCTCAGTGTTAATAATAATTTAAAAAGAGCTAATAAAAATAAAGTGTAATAGGACTTGCTATAGGCTTACGTCAAGACCGTGCCATGTAGAATAAATTTTTAAAACTTGATTGGCTGGCTGGCAGCTCAGTACAACTAGGTCTACATCGGGAATCGCGGGGCATGCCATTTCGATCAATTGATATATCGATCGAAAACCTTATTTGTAGGCACACCCTTTCCAAGATGTCAAGCCCCAAGTGACTCTTTCAAGTACTCGACGCAAACATAAATGTAAACCAATAATATCATGTCGCCAAAGTATGCTTCTATAATCAAAGGACTTTGATTTATTAGTAGCATACGCGGCTGGTGGGCCTGGCTTTATTTTTTTTATCGTAGGAGGCCTAATTGTCGTCGGTATATTCTATTTTTTGTGCAGCAAACAATTAGGCCTAGCTAGGCCCTACTTCGTCTTACTGTACGACATGATTAAATATAACCGCATTTATTGTACGGTACTAAACGCCCCGCGTTGAATTAAGCCCCCGCCCCACACCCACACACACCGTAACACACACACACACACACGCATTCTATCAATCTCTAGTAGAACTTACATTTTCTCTAACCTGGTTAGGATCAACTATGATCATACAATTGACGGTAATTCCTATGTGTTTATTTGAGTAGGCCTATCGTATCCATTTTACACAATTTTACACACACATAACCCTCCCCCCAAAAACCCCAAGAAAAGCCTCCCACGAATAAACGCACCTGAAAAAATTCTTCTCAACAACAAAGGCGTTTATTCGAGTAAATACGGTAACTGTGCGACGGCTACCAGTGGTATATATTATTAAACGTGTGTATGTAGCGCGTCCTGAGTCCCTTAACTTATTTTGGTGAGTTAAAAACGAATCCCATCTTCAGGTTCTATGGCCTAAAGATGACTCTCTCTGTTTATAAACCTGAGAAATAAAAAGAAAAGTTGATATTGGATGATACGATACGAAATATTTCATTTTCCATGTTTCCATGATAATTATCGTGGAAACTCGGAAACGCGGAAGGTCACTTTAAGCTTCCGTATTATACAGCAAAAAAAAAAAAAAAAAAAAAAAAAAATCCGGCAGCCGGTGAGGTCCACACCTTATTAATAAGATTACTTATAAATAATGACAACACATTCTTTAGTAACATAAGTATAGCAATCAAACCGTACAGCGGTACAAATTGTATTCTGTTGCAATTCAGCGTTTTTGCTGCTATTAGAGAATAAATAAAATGAATGAATTTGTTTTATAGAAAATTGTTGAACAAATTAAAGTTTGTATATAGCGCCCGCAATATTCAATAACCCCCCTACCCTACGCTTTTCCTCATGTGTGTTTTTGTGTTGTGTGATAGCACAATTTCAAAACATTAATTTTGATTTAAAATGTAACATTTGCGTAGCTAATAATTCGTGTATTTGAAAATGGCATCATATATGGATCTTCAAGGAGGCCACAGTAAGTACAAAGCTAAGTGAGTTTCTATATGAAGATACATGAAATCCTAGGCCTAGCTAGGCTAGCCTCTCCTTACGAATAATAACTTACCTAACCCTTCTTACAAATGTAAGTCCCCGGCACTGAATCATAATGCGAGAAATTGCCTAGCTAGGCCTACTAGGCCTATGCATAATCCTCATTGAAGGCCCTATCTAATAGTATGATGAAAGTATGTACGATTTACTTTTTTAAAACATTGTACAAAAAGAAGACCATACTGTTGTAGAGTTTTTTACTTGCATGGATGATACCAGGGAGGCTGGGAGAAAAAGCACAATTCGTCGGGGAGAAAAAAAATTATATGTATTTTACTCTAAAATCGATTAGGCCTAAATCAGCCTTTGAAACCCCTAAATTGTCAAAATTTTCTGGGGCTCCGCCCCCAGGACCACTTTCAAAACCTTTTAATCGAAGCTTGACCACTCCCATTTTGCTTTCGTCGGGGAGATCTGACCCCTCGTCGGGGGCTTCGGCCCCCGTCGGGGACTGCGAATCCCCCTCCCCTGTCTGGCAAATCCTGGCGTCACCTCTGTATCTGATATCAATTAATATATATTAACTCATAACTGTAACATATGCTTATTTATATTTGTCCTCAGGTAAAGTGTTCCTCTGGTATTCAGATCTTCCAACACGTCTGCCAGAGATCTGTAGAGCCCTACACCAGAAAGAGTTTCCATTGGCAACTAAGTCACTCCTTGACTGGATGGCCTCGTACTTCGTCCAGTGTCAGAATTTTCCACCTGGAAAATTCCCAAATAAGGATATTGTAATCCAGTTGCTGGATTTGTTCGTCTTTTACCAACCACTTGATGGATTTGTACCTAAGGTGACTTTTTTAAAAATACTTTTATATATATTTTTTAAAACCTAATAATAATCATCTTTCAGGGTTTTTACTAGTATGTCCCGACTAACGGTTGTCAAACAAAAATATGTGGGGGTGCCGCGCTCCCAGGGTCCTGTAAAGCTATGGAGAATAAATGATATATAAGAAAATTTTAGCTCCAAAAGGCACTTTTTTAAGGCTTTATTTTTAAGGTTCATTTATGTGCCTCTGCCCTACTTTTTGTGGATTGGCTTTCTGCGTCAAACTGTGAAGGAGACAGAATCTAACATTATTAAATTTCAAGATCAAAAAATAATGTGTATCTCTTTGTTGCTGAAATATCAAAGTGCAACATAAAATGAAATATGATATCACACTCGATATGTCATAGTTCACAAATATAAAAATTAAATATATACTACTATAATCTATATCTTCAGAGTCTTTAAATATCATACTGTATAAATTATCTTTAGAAGGCTACATAAGAAACTTGGTTTATATTGTGTTTTACTATCATTACATATTTAGTACCTACCAAGCCACCATGATTTATGGCCATTTTCCATCTTTCATTATGTAACTCTTTCTATTTCTATGTGTAGAAATAAATCTTTTTGTGATTAAAAAAAAAATTTTTTTATTATGGTGTTATTATGAATATTGTTATATAATTACCATAAATTTATTTTTATTTGTTTTTATTTAATAAAAATGTACTGTATTTCTAAAAAGTATTTATACCACAGTTTTATTATATAATTGATAAAAAAAATCATATTCAGAGTAAAGTTGTTCAAATCAAGTTTCAAGTTTGCTACGCAGCATTTACACAATATAAACAAATAGATAAATAATAATAATAATAATAATCTTTGAATAGGAACATGCTGTAATAATCGTATCAAGCATAGCTCATCAACTAAAAGTTCCTTTTGTTCAGTTGTATGGAAAAAGTGTTTGGTGGGATTCGAACCTGCAACTTCTCGCTGTCAAGGCGAGTATCGTGTCCATTAGACCACATAGGATATAGGCAAAGATTTAACCAGCTGGCACTGTCTCATACAACTTACTGAAATTTTCACACATACTGGAGCAGTGGTTAAGCTAGAGAAGTTCATAGGTCAAAGCTGGGAAATTGTAAATAATATTCTAGTCAAATGTTAAAGTTAAAATTATGTCTTTTTTATCCAACAGAAATTGACATCGCTAGACAGTCTACAGATTATCGAACTCTTGTGCCAATTCTTTAGTACTGGCAACAGCGCCCCCATAATGTACTCGGTGTTCGATGCGTTGTTTGGCTGCAGCCGTGACAGCAGATGCGATGCTCACCGGGGCAGAATGCTTAGTCAGCTCGCCTCTATGGCAGTCTCGGTGAAGTGTGTGCCGGTTCTAAACAACATTGCCATTTGGTTATACAATCAGGTATACCCATACATAGTCATGATTTTCCTTATATGGTCATGATATGTCACATTTGTTTTTGTCAAATAATATTTGATAGGCTCGACAGGGCTTCACATAAGAAGAGAGTTTACTCATTAATACTTTGTTTCCTTTAATATGAATAATGCTGATAGTATTTTGTCAACATCACTAAATGTTTTCTATCATCAGGAACTGATGAACTGGTGCCATATTGATGTACCGTAAATGCTTGGATAGCCCTCTGGCTCTTATAACATTTTTCGAGGCTTCAGTGCGGTGCTTATACAAAAATTTGGCAAGGCGCTTTCCAAGCCTGTTCCCTTGTTACCTAATTTATGTCTTCCCTTAGTTCAGTAGGCCTATCATAGTTCCTACTTCATCGTAAATAAATGTTTATAAGGCCGCTTGTGTCTTCATTGTGTTTTTTTATTAATTTTAACACTGTATACATTGTATTTAAAACCCTGTTTCTAAAAGTGTTTCATAACACAGAGGGTACTATACTCTCCATTAAGCTCCACGGCGCTTATTCGAGGGCGGTGCTTAGCGATAAATAATCGGGTTTGATGCGGCGTTTATTCAAGAGTGGCGCTTATTCAAGAGCAGCGCTTATTCGAGCATTTACGGTAGCCAAAAACGTGTTTTTTACTTTACAAATTGTTAATGTTCCTTTTTAAATGCCTTCAAGGAAATTCATTTCATTTCATGTGTTGCAACCAATTATCACACACATTTACCAGCCCTGCATATATAGGTCAAAAGAATTTCAATTTCAATTTTAATTCCTTTTTTAAAAATTCTTTTTGTCTCTTTATATAGGACTGCTCAAGTAATAGTTTAGCCATGGTGTCTTCAGTAATTCAAGATTTCTGTGTTCTTGTGCCGGAGTCTCTGAGTTCGCTTGAAGCTCTGATACTGGTGTGTCCTCAGTTTGCCTGTCAGTTCATGACAGCTGCCGTCCATCTCTTCTACCAAACCCAAGGTAACCAATAACATTGATCAACTGGAGTGTAGCTTCCTAGTTGACAGTGGTGGATTCAAGAGGGCCTAGTAAGACAGCCCAAGCCTCCCTTAATTTTTCAAAATTATAAAAAAAATAGAATAATTATAATCAAATTTAGGTCTGAGAGTGTGCTTTCCAGCCATCTCAAGGTGCCATAATCATAAATTTACTTACCTCAGCCCCAACCATGGCGGGGCTGAGGTAATCTAGACCCTCCAACTGTGAAAGTATATCCCTGGGCGCCATCTATTTTGAATTCTTTGATCCGCCATTGGTTGGAAATGCCTGTCTTCAGATCCTGTGGTTTGGGTGCGCATTTCAGATTTAAGTTTCTCTAAAATTCTTCTGTTATTTTATGTATAATAGCATCTTTGTCGATATATTACAGATATTAAAACTTAATAAATAAACTAAGTATGTAGTATATAAGTTTTAATAAATATTTTGTTCCTTGTTAGGGGGAAAACAAGCTCAAACGTTTTGAAATGTCAATTTTTTAATAACTGTTTTAAATGCAATTCGCAATAACATAACATGCATTTTTATTTCCTTGTTTTTCTTCATTATATTGAAAATTTCACGATGTAGGTCTCTAAATGAGGCTAAAACAGGGTTCTCACTCCGCTTGATGGTCATTGGCCGACACAATTTTATGGAAAACGCAATGCTGTGACATGCAATGGATCATTTTTAGTGACAATCCACTCAGACATCACATCATGACCATATATAGGCATGTCATGACCATATATAGGCACATCATGACCATATATAGGCACATCATGACTGTATACAATAGTCTGGACAGATCTTAATATCAATCAATAAGGCCCAAAAAACCCCCAAAAACATGTTTTTTCTAAGTGCAGTGACATTTTAAATCAGGTTTGAAATTTCTTTTATAATTCAGGCCTAGACATAATTCAAGTAGCTTTACTTCCTCTTATCACTCATCCCATGTATTTAGTTACTGCAGGGCTGAAATTTATGACTAAGGTATCACATTTGCTAATTGAAGCTTGAAAAAATAGCCTTTTCAAATATACTTGTATGTAGGTCTCCTTTGTAAACAAAAGAAAAATCATATAACTTTATATGAATTTTTTGCTAGTAAGGTTTGGGCAACAGAAACTTTTTTGGGCTAAATGCCTGGCAGAGTATGGTAGCGTTACGCGACAGCAAAAATACTCGGTCGCGCTATGCAGTCTATTTACACAGCGCGACAACAGCCATGATGGAAGCAACTGTTGTGGCTTGTTCTGCGGTCTACATGCTCAGCGAAGGATGATCGAAGTAGGTGATTGGCCAGAATATTTGTTGTCGTGCAACAGTCTTCGAAAAAGAACATTATTCTATGCTGCACGGCACGTCGTACTGTCGCATAGTTGTGTTGCGTTAGGTGTGAATTACTATAAAGAACATAGTAGGTGCTATTTTGTCTGCCGCTGTCATGTGCCTCTGTGGTGCTCTGTGTAAGTAGGTCCTAATAATCAAGAGCATCATGGATTCAAAATAAGCAAATTTGTAGTTGAAATAATGTCAAGGACTTGGCTTCATGGTCAGTGTTAAAAAAAGTGTTCTACACTTTTTTTTGCATTTAATATCAGGACATTAATTGTAATTTTACTTTGAATCATAATGCCAGCAGATGACAGCCAATTTACACATGATTCTTAATGGGTTTTTTAATATTTTATATTTCAACGTTGTTAGATTAAACTTGTTTAAAGATATACTGCCATTTAAGTTTAATATAAACATAAAATTAAAAAAAAATTAATTTCTCAAATTTTGTATATCAATAAATTTTAAGCTGTCGACTGAAAATTATTCTGTAGCAATAACACATTTTCCTTAAGAGTTGACAGACTTCTTTTTATAAAAAAAAATATTGCTGTAGTCTTTGCATGCTCTTAAATTTCTGTCATCAAATTTATGTATGTTTGAAGTAAAACATAAGCTTTAAATCATTGAATTCTGATGTTTATGATCTGTAAAAATTGGTAACTTAGTGTGCTTCTTCTAGAGTTTCATTTGTTTTTCTCAAATGTTACTTGTCAAATTATTCACTCAACAAAAATAGACTTAAGTTATAGGTAAAAATAGGCTCTGGAGGAAAAACAAGGCGTTTCCCACAAAAAACAAGAATGCCTGAGGTATTATATAAAAGGATACAGTAATAATTTCAATTTTCATTGCTGTTGCTCTGTCTCTTATACACATCTAGATGTGTATAAGAGACAGCTATTTATGATTGATATATAAAAAGTGACATCTATTTCTCTTTTTTTTGCATGCAGGTCCTCAATTACAAGTTCCGAACTCAATTCCTAACAATTTACTGGAAGTGTTCTCAAAATGGTTGGATCAGGATTACTCTTTGTGTATCGCATCGATCCAGTCACCTCTGCCACGAGTTCCTTCATTTCGTGATCCGATGGGCTACATGTCCCGTTATATGTGTACGTACATTTCAGCCCTACCAGGACTTGTGAACTGCTGCGTCGTAGGCAATCTGGGAAGACCCACGAGTAAAGGTCCCAACTCTGAAATTGAGGAAAAAACTCATGTGTATTCGCGGTTGCTGTTTGGTATTTTACAGACTCTTTTGCAAGCTCAGCTTCTGAAGAAAGGCCAGCCACAGCATCGTGTGCCAAAAGAACTCATTGATGTTCTGCAAAGGTTGCTGACGGCAGAGAATTTGAAAAGGATTGTTGAATCATTTAAGAGAATTGTCAAAGATTGCAACCTCTTGCCAGACTCGGAAGAAGTGCAGGCTTCTCTGGACCGATTCGCTCAAGTGCTTCAGGTTGCCTTGGCAACAGGGACCACCCATTGTTCAAGGGGTAAGGTGTACAATGAAATTACTCAATCTCATTATGTATTATAAAGAATAATCAGTTTTGCAATTATCATTATGTTTCTATAATACATTTCATGCATAAAGTTATATTATTCTTTTGTGTCTGGATTCAATATTTCGACATTAATTATGTCATCATCAGGAATCTTGTTTATTCTTGTTCATTTCTTTTTAACCTTTTATACCTCACACACACTCCTATGACCTTCTTGAACCTCCTTAAATTTTCGCTTCTAGCCTTATTTCCCAAAACTGCCTTCTCTCCACCTTGCAGTCATACCAGTGTTAAAACTTATAGATTTATAATTTTGCAATCACCATCCTTAGAAACCACCAATTGCTCAAGGGTTTAGCTGTACTGTGAAATTAATCAACATTATTATTATAAAAGAATAATCAATGTTTTGCATTTTATTACTGTTTCTATAATATTATATTTCATGCATAAGTTTAATCATAGAGTATACATAATTGCAAGAGATCTGACTGCCCTGATTTTTGACTGCACATATGAAACGTTAAAAAAAAGTACTTCCACACGATGGGGAGCACCCTATTAGAATTCGTGTCAGACCTCTTGCTGTTTTATACTCTTTGGTTTAATGTATGTTATTCTTGTCTGTTTTAAGAATACCATTCTTTTCCAAACTTTCTCCCATTGGCGGATCCAAGAATTTGAAATAGAGGGGTGGGGGGCCAGGGAGTGACTTTCACAGATATAGGGTCCATCCACCTAAGCCCCACCATGGTTAGAGCTAAGGGTAGAAAATTTATGATTATGGTACCTCATATGGCAGGAAATGGCACTCTCAGATTTAAATTTAATTATTTTATTTATTCTATCATTTTAAAAAATATATATATTTTTAAATTTATGTATATAGTTTCTTTCACCTTCCTGGCCTCTTTATGTTCCCTATTCTTCTTCATTTCTTTTCAGTCTTTTGTACCTTGCTCACTCCTACTACCCCCCTCTTGAACTGCCTGCAATTGCCCATTCTCAGTAGCCTTAATTTATACCCTAAAGCAGCCTTCTGTCTGCCTCACAATTAATCACCAGTGGCAATTATACATTTTATAGACGTAACATTTCATAATTACCATCCTTAGAAACCATTAGTGCTATCTATAATAATAAACATTGTATTGATTTTTTTCTTTATAAATAATTTGATTCATAATAAAAAAACATTAGCTCATAAAAGAGGGATTCTGTTATAAGAGACAAAAATATCATCAGCCTGTCTAAGCCTGAATCATAGGCATCAGCCCACAGATTACCTGGAATTGGGTACTACAAATAAATCTATATTGCCATATAAAAAAATGATTGAGACAAGACACATTTATTAGTTGTTTTTTTTTTGTAAAATGATACCTAGATGATCTTGCCGCACTACAATAAGAGATATCAAATTGATTGTATAATAAAACAGAAAGGTATCCACCAAAATTCTAACATTCACAAAAAGAAGAATGCCTGAGGTATTATATAATAAGGATAATAATTGCATTGCTTTTGCTTGCAGGATCAATACTGTGGACTATTTTACGATTATCACCACTAACTGTCACAATTATCCCTGGCACAAAATCCATAATATCCTCTCTCTACTGTATCTGTTCCGTTTTCCCACAAAAAACAAGAATGCCTGAGGTATTATATAAAAGGATACAGTAATAATTTCAATTTTCATTGCTGTTGCTTGCAGGATCAAAACTGTGGACTATTTTAGAATTATCACCACTAATGAACTGTCTCAACCTCCCCTGGCACAAAATCCATATTATCCTCCCTCTGTCTCTCCTGTTTTACCACGCTTTTCTTCTGTTTTTTTTTTTTTCTTCTGCTTTTCTGTAATTTCTAACCTGCAAAGTTAGTTTCAGTTTATTTCCCTAGACAACACAAAGGGGATTTAAACTTGTCGATCTAATTGTTAATGTTAAAAACTATTAAAACTTTTGTGTAAATTAAAATGTATTTAGGTTTCAATGCTTTAATTCAAAACGATTTTACGTTTTTCAGGAAATGTACTGGACATATGCAAGGGGCTACCAAATAATCGGTAAGATTTGAAGACACATGTCATCATTATCACTACGCTTTTATTATTGACTTTGCGTAAATATTCAGTTCATGGACATGCAAATTGGAACATGAACATGTGTCAGTAGGACACTTATTAAGCAGTTGGTGTACTGTAGGTAGTTTCACCACATTGCATATGTCCTTGGGAAAGACGTGTTGAAATAAGTTTGTCTGACTTCACCCGTACACAGTGGTGGCGCCAAGATTTGCCCGACGGGTGATCCACGACAAGAGCAAAGTCAATCGAAATATTTCGCAATTGGTCGGAAGGGGGTGGGGCGAACCGCCTGAAAACGTTGACAATTTAGGGGTTTCAAAGGCTTATTTAATCAAGTCTACTAATATTTAGAAAATACATACACCCCTGCCCATACATAATTATAGGTACTTGGTAGGTTTTAAACTCTACTACTCATCAAGTAGTTTGGTGCAGTGGTTGCTGCTCTACTTGTCAACCCTTAGGTCGGAGGTTCAATCCTTTGCTCTGCATTTCGCTTGTGTCTGTAGGGAAGGCACTTTACCTATGGTTATCTCTCTCTCCACTCAGGAGTACAAGTGGGTACCTGGTAGTTTCAAACACAAAATACACAGATTATTTGCTTCAATATTATGGAATTCTTCCCAGGGAGCTACGTTTGTTCATTCCTTCTCATGGTATATTTTCTTTAAACAAATTCACAAACATACAAATGGTAACGATAAATAGTTTAAATAATGATTGCTGAATATAACATTGTAGTAGAAACTAAATTGTGTTATAAATTTTTTTACTTCAAGTTTTAAAGCACAGATACAAGGCATGGTGCTTCCATTTTGCTCCGATATACAGTATTTATAAGCGGCAGAGGGTTAGGACAGTGTTAATTGCCTTCATTCAAAGGATTCTAACTCCAAACAAACATAGTTCCTCATCTAGTAGGCCTATTATACCTGTCTCTTATACACATCTAGATGTGTATAAGAGCTCGACCTTAGAGGCCTTGTTAGCATAAAGCGCTATACAGATGATTGCCTTATGCTGAGGCAACTACACAACTAGGAATACTCACTAGCTCACTAGGGAAAAGAGAAAGTTACACATTGTATATGGCTATATTTGTATTCAGTATGAACTGGGATTATCTGTGCCTCCTAGATTAATATTTAATTAGGATTCAAATTGTGTGAAACCAAGAAGTTGCTTTTCCTCATTAAAATTTTTACTGTTTTGATGAAATTTGTTGTTATAGAAATGCAAAATACTTCAGTAATCAAATCAATAAATGCTTTATGCTTTTGGTGAGGAAGAAGTAAATATCGGGAAAGCTTTTAGCGATGGCGAAATAAAGAAAATTTGAATTTTTTTCCAAAAATGAAATTATTTTTTGGATGATATATGCATGAACGTGCATGAAAAGGAGCTTAAAATGCATTGACAGGCAGTTTCAAATCTTTTTTGGATGATATATGCATGAACTGGCAAAAACAAAATTTATATTTAATTTGAAATTATTATCAACGCTTGACGGTTTTACAAAATAAATATAGTCGCACCTTGCCACACCAGTTCACATGCAAAACTAAACTACGTGCAAACACACACGCATCCACCACCCATAACATGACATGTGATGCATACGCCTACCTTTTCAAAGGAGCTTAGAATACATTGACAGGCAATTTCAAATCTTTCCTCGTTAAAGTACTTAAATTAATATGAAGTCTTTGACGTATTTGTCGATTTATGATTTAAAACGTTCGCCACCAGGCCTCATCAGTGGATCGATGTAGATGAATGATTATTCGATTGATGATTAAATTACAGAATTCAAAAGAGAGAAAAAACTATCACGCAAAAAAATGATTATTCACAAGAAATTATTAATCTGATTGTCATGGGATGCTTATAGAAAATTACTTATTGTCTCTAGGCCATAAGGTTTTGTCATTTTGATGTGTTGTGTTAACGTGGTGATGTATTTGGATGACACTCACAGAAACTAGGGCATCCTTATTAATTTTTTGTTCTTTATCTGAGCTTACATGAGTCGCATTTTGTATTTTCCGCGATATAATTATACACAAAACGTGTACGCATCAGTGCCACAAAAGTGAAATTTCGTTGACCTGTTGTCAAGATTGAGCAACAGTGTTTGGGTTTTTAAAAAAAATTTTTTTTTTTTTTTTTTATCATTCCTGATGATGACATAATTAATGTCGAAATATTGAATCCCAACACGATGGCGTGTATTTCAATACTTGGAGTATGTATTATACTTTCTTATCTGAGATTAATCAGTGGACCTTTCGGTTTTTAAAAATTTTATTTGGTGTGGCAAAGCCACCTTTATTTGCCACAAGTGCAAAAAAAAAATCACAAATGTTGAAAATAATAAAGAAAAGTAATTTGTAATTACAACAATACACAACATTGATTGATTATGAATCAATTACATTTTTCAGTAAAGTAATTTTGTAATTACAACAATACACAACATTGATTGATTATGAATCAATTACATTTTTCAGTAAAGTAATTTGTAATTACAACAATACACAACATTGATTGATTATGAATCAATTACATTTTTCAGTAAAGTAATTTGTAATTACAACAATACACAACATTGATTGATTATGAATCAGTTACATTTTTCAGTAAACTCCCATCTTTTAGAAAAAAATATCTTCTTTGCTGTTAACAAGGGCAATATATTTCTCCATTTCATAGTATTTTTTTACTTCAAGTTTTAAAGCACAGATACAAGGCATGGTGCTTCCATTTTGCTCCGATATACAGTATTTATAAGCGGCAGAGGGTTAGGACAGTGTTAATTGCCTTCATTCAAAGGATTCTAACTCCAAACAAACATAGTTCCTCATCTAGTAGGCCTATTATACAGTAGTTAAATTACAAGTATTTTTAAGCCATGTTAAAACTTTACTCCAAAAATGGAAACTAACATGACACGAGAAAAAAATGTGTTCGAATGTTTCTTCACTTCCTTTGCAAAAGGTACACGTATTGTTTTCCAATCACTGATTTTGAATAAAAATGATTTAACACCTGAAATCCTGTGAATGATTCTGTATTGAAACCATCTTAATTTAACATCATTATTACAACTGGAAAGTGACATTTGACACAGTTTCCCAAATATTTTTGTTATTTTAAATTCCTATACCTCTCTGCCATTTTTCTTTATATCTTTTCTTATAAACCAAGTTAGAACAAAATACCTCATACATTCTCCTAGACCCTTTATGGTTGTCAAGCAAAAAAAAAAAAATGGAAGCTCCTTGCTCCATTCAGATATCAGCATAGTTTCCCATCTGACAATTCAAAATATGACAACACAAGCACCTGCTATAATGTGTTCTTATACGTTGCTGGACAAAATGTGTGAAAGGTAGCAGTAAATTTTAATATAGGACTTTTTGTAATTTGCAACTTTTTGATGGAGAATTGAAAGAAAAATTGTTGAGATCAATCTGATGCATATTTTTTATTTTTTCAAAATTATGAGTAAATTGATGTTGCAGACATATCTTCATACATTACTTCAAATGGACATGTACACCCCTATTTGGTCATTTGTTCATATTGTACTCTTAGGTGTAGAGACAAATGTAGTTTCCAAAACAAAAGTAAATGGCCAATGTGTGATTCGATCCCCGACCTTACGGTTGAGAGCTGGAATCATCCACTTTCAAATAAGTTATTGTTAAATTACTTCTTCTTGATCTTTCAGATTACTTAATCTCATCCTGTCTCATAGCAACAAACTAGAGGTATCCCAGAAGGCATCAGCCAGTCCTCAGAAGCAAGGCTTAGCAGTACCAATGCAGCATTGATCCTTTGTTAAAGACTCGAGGGTCAGACATACAGTAGATGAGGTCAAGATAGCAGATTAAACATTGACCAGATATATATGCTATATATGCTGTCTAGGCCTAGTACCCAATTCACATGCGACAAAATGTTTACCCGGGACACATGCTAAATGTTATAGATTTTCCCGGTTATGCCCACAGTGTTCACACAGTTGATACGCAGACAGTGAACATGTGTGCGAGGCTACAGTGAAAGCTAAGCTGTGTCTCACGGACATACACAGATTCATATACATTTTATCTCGGAAGTGTTCTGAACCTCTGCAATTTCTGTTTTTTTTTTTTTTTTTTTTCGGTAATTATTATACGAGTTGCAAAGTAATCTTTGGCGGATGTGCTTCACACACAGATGCATTGTAGCAGGGAAGAGGGAACGCTTGGTAAATTTTTCCTAACACGTGTACATTTTGTCTCGTGTGAATTGGGTATTATTATATTACTGTACTGCAGGAGTGGGCATAAAAATGAGTCGGAGGACTGAAGTGAAGGTTGCATGCCAAAATAGTGGGTGTTTTTAAATCTGCTTTATGCCCGGTTTTGATGTTACTTTACATATATTCAACATTAAAATGGAGTTTTTCTTGCCAACGATGGAAGGCGTGCTATACATGGAGACTTGTTAATTCATTTTCGCGATAACTATTTTAGGTACCCGAACAATTGCGCGTACTAGAGGCGTGGATTACTTCGGTCAGTGACAAAGAAATTTCGCAGGCAATTCTGTCATGAGTGTTTTTCCTATGCCCTGTTGTCATGGCAATGAGTTTTTTTTTATGGTGACAAAAACCACAGCATCAACGGTGTTAAAGATTTTTTAGGTTTTTATCAACCACCCTTTCATCAGGTCGAACTAAAGATTAATGTATAACAATGAAAATATGTAGCGAGGTTGATTTAAGAAATGGCGTAATACTTCTTTTTACATTACACATCACATCAGACAAGCAACCAATCTGGGTTGTACAATAGTCATAACAGTAATTGTATTTTTTTTTAAAGTTATGGCAGTAATCAAAATTTGAAATATTACCATCAATCATGTGATGAAAATTGTTTGGGTAGCAATTACAGTTTAAATGTACAGCAATAAACATGAAGACAGTATTTTATTTTTAAATTAAAAAAAAAAGCTTTAAAAAAGGATTCTTAATAAAAAAACAAAAAAACTACAAGCTTTCTTTCACACAGTAAACTCGAGTCACCAGATAAAGGTTACTGTGTAAAGGAAAGCAAGTATGAGTGACAGCAGAACATTTTGAAGGCACAAACACAGCAATTGAATGAATTTGGTCATGAAATGACAACATCAGTAGCGGCTCCATTGAGGAGCTGGTCCTACGGACATGACATTAAGAAAGTTTCCACCAGGGCCTTTTCCCCTGAAACCAATGTTCTCTATATATAAATCTATGATACTTGGAGAGTGGGGAGCTGATCGCATGATAACACAATGATCTCTATAACCAAGTCTATGAGACTCGGTGTGTAGAGTGCTGATTACATGATAACTCAAAGATATTGAGTAATTAAGTTTACTTTAGAGACCAGGCCCTCCCATCAAGATTATTCTATTAAAGATTATCAATAAAGAATAAGAATAAGAATGATCTCTATAACCAAGTCTATGAGACTTGGAGAGTGTACAGCTGAACACATGATAACTCTGCCATCTCTATAACCAAGTCTATAAGACTTGGAGAGTGAAGAGCTGATCACACGATAACTCAATGACGACAACTCAAAGTCTTTGAGACTCTGGCTATGTTCTCACACATGGCTGCTAACGGTTAGCAGGATCCGGATCCTGCTAACCATTAGCTGCCATGTGTCCATACTAGAAAATCCCGATAAGAAACTGGAAATTGTAAACGTGCGTGCGCGATTGGTTGATGATAGAAAGACGCTCAACTTGCTAACCGATAGCGCTTGTAACCGTTAGCGGTATCCGGATACTGCTAACGGTTAGCGCTAACCGATCGGGCGTTTTTACGCAGGTACTAACGGTTAGCGCTAACAGTTAGCTCCCGATCCGGATACTAGGTCTCTCGTGAGAACCAAGCTTATAGGAGTGGATAAACCAAGTTTATAAGAATTATATGAAAGCTCGGTGATCTCTATAAACCAAGTGTATAAGAATTGGAGAGTGCAGAGCTGATCACATAATAACTCGGTGATCTCTATAAACCGACGCGATAAGAATTGATCACATGATCTTTATAACCAAGTCTATTATTTACCAAAGTACACTCAACACCCAATTAACCTAGATAATATTACTTAAGTACATAGACCAGAATCAACATGCTTATGGGTAATTGTCTGCTTCTTCAACTCTTGTAATACGCTCCAGATACATTCACATCGGAAGTCCACCCACGATGATAATTATGACATCCAATTTTATATTATAAGGTGTATTGTACTTTATTGAATGGGCAATACAATGATTAAATGAACAAGTAACAAATAATGGGTTATGTTTAATAAAATATTTGCTATAAAATTTAGCTTATATAGTGCCTTTTCCTCGTGTTGCAAAGCATTTGTATCATGCACGTAAGAAACTCAAATCCGGTTTAAATACACCGAGGTTATTCAGAAACTTTTTATTTTGATTAAATAATAGTAATAAATTTAAATGGAAAGACAGTAACGCAAAATCTTCAGAAAGATGCCATCCGTCTCTTCTCTGGCGCAGTCCAGGACCACTACCTAGGCTGACCGGGCAAAGGAACGAAAAACATATTTGCCCTGCCACAGACAAGCGGGTACTCAGAGACATTGACCGAGACGGCGGCTACCAGAAGATAATGCAAACTACTGTATTAGAAAAGAATAAAACAGCCAATTATTGAAACGAATAAACAGATGTGTTTTTGGGTACATTTAAATGTATCCATAGATGTGTAAAGCACACTTCACAGTCTCAGCAATTGATTCTAGAATGTAGATGCAACGACTGGAAACCAGTGGTGGATTTAATGGGGGGGTGGGGGTGGTGCCATCCGGGCCAGGCCCCCCACAAATTGTTAGAATTTTTTTTTTAAATAGAGATATAAAGAAAATTATATTTGAGAGTGCAATTTCTGGCCATCTAGAGGTGCCACATTCAAAAATTTTATTACCTCAGCCCCAACCTTGGTGGGCTGAGGTAGTATAGATTCTCCCATCTGTGAAAGTACCTCATCGGGCCCCCTCTATTCTGAATTCCAGGATCCGCTACTGGAAACGATGTATCACCAATTTATTTCTTGCAAAAGGGGTGGTGATTGCACAGATGATGAAGAGCGCGTTGTGCTATAGAAATACCAAAGGGCTACTCCATAGCTTCTGTATTAATATCTGTTGTTTTCTACAGTGATACAAACTATCAAGGCAAGTTGGGTAATACAGATTTTTGAAAGTTATGCAACAGTTTATTTTAATGTGTGCACGTTCCAATTTTTATACACACTTCAGTTGATGGTTGTGTTTAAAGAGCATATGCTATTATTTTACAATTACTATTGTAATAATCTAAGTTTTTTTAATAAGATTCAAATCCATCAATCATGAAACAGTAGATATGTTGCTGTACAAAGTATTTATAAATTTGCTTTCGAATGGCTGGTTGTTAATTACTTTTATGAACGCATTAATTCGGTCTTTGTCCGCTAAAGGCATCTGCATACATCACAATCCGATTCATTAATCTCCCTCAGTTACTTTCATCAATATATACTTTTTATTTTAGAGTTTATTCATGCTGGTAATGTCCAACCTTAATTGTATTTACCTTTATTGTGATAATGACAGTATTTTTGTTATTATCAAAGCTCATCATTCACTACCTATCGGGATGCTTTCTCCAGAGGGAATTTCTTTCTGCATATAGATGATTATATCTCATATATCTTAATGTTGAGATCAATGCAACCGTATTAATAATAATAAACATTATTAACATGATTTAATTTTTTTGTATGGAAACTGAATTGTAATTTACAGGGTAAAAGCTTTTAAAAAATTATAAATCAAAACCAATTGAAAGCTTGCGACTTAGTGGAGATGTTTATTTAACTTGCTCTATCTAGTTTGAACAAAAATAACCTTAGGAGAAAAGCATTAAGTTGAAAACTGATATGAAGAAGCAATCAATCTATCTTTTGCTCAATATAATTTCCCTAGTTCAGTTTATTTTGATTTGTGGCGGAGTAGTTAATGATACCTAGTCATATTTGTGGTAAGGGGAGGGGGAAGGGTGGTTAAATGACAGTCGTCTTTATAAATCACAATCCCAGTTGTGGTGTGGCAGTAGTGGAGCCAGGATTTGACCGACTGGGGGTGTAGCCAATGGGGAGTTTTAAGAGTAGGGGTGATGTGTTGTACTTTGGGTAGTTGTTTGATAAGACAGGCTGCTGTGTTTAGTTGAAGCTGTATCTTCTTGATTAATTTGTCCGGTAGTCCATGAAGGACCCCATTACAATAATCAATACTTGATGTTACATTAAGGCCTTGCTTGAAAACACAGAGCAAGGAAGAGACTCAAATGTATATGAAATAGATCAATTCTAGATGTATTATATATACAGTATATTATTATAGATTAATTGGAACATTGGATGCAATTAATCTATTGATTAATTTACAGGCCTTGCACATTGATGGGTCTATGTGAAGAATATAGGAATGGCGTTAGTAATTACAGTGGTTGGAGACTGTCTCTTATACACATCTAGATGTGTATAAGAGACAGAATCTATCTTTTGCTCAATATATTCTCCCTAGTTCAGTTTATTTTGATTTGTGGCAGAGTAGTTAATGATACTTCGTTTTATTTGTGGTAAGGGGAGGGGGAGTTTTATTTGTGGTAAGGGGAGGGGGAAGGGTGGTTAAATGATAGTTGTCTTTATAAATCACAATCCCAGTTGTGGTGTGGCAGTAGTGGAGCCAGGATTTGACCAATTGAGAGCCCGAGGTCCCCAACGGGGGGTGGAGGCAATGTCCCCAACGAAAAAATGTGGGCGTGGTCGGGCGTTCCAAGGGGGTCAAGCCCCAGAAAAATAAGAATTTAGCGGTTTCAAAGGCTTATTTCATTGATTTTGGAGTCTCTAATATGTAGAAAATACATAATCTTTTCTCCCAGACGAATTGTG